CTGAGCTCTGCCGCGCCCGGGGGGAGGCCGCGGGGAGGGGGCTCGGCCCGTGCGCGCCGCGCTCTGCTCAGCCCCTGTCGCCCGGGTTTAGATGGCTCCCGCCAAGAAGGGTGGCGAGAAGAAGAAGGGCCGCTCCGCCATCAACGAGGTGGTGACGAGGGAGTACACCATCAACATCCACAAGCGCATCCACGGAGTGTGAGTGCCGGGCGCTGGGCTTGGGGCGGCCTGGGAGTGAGCGTGTCCCGCGCGTGCGCCCCGCGCGCCGTGCTTGCGGCGCGTGGGGCTTCCAGGGTCCTGCTCGGAGGGTCGTGCCGGGGGGAAAACCCTGGCGCCGTCCTTCCCCCGGGGCTTGCAACCGGATCAACGGATCTGGGTGGGCGGGGGGCGAGCGAGGTGCCGGGGGCAGAGCTGGTTCCCGCTGCCGGACCCGGAGACTGACCCGGTGCCCCGGGAGAAAGGGGTCGCTTTTAGGCTGCGGGAGTAACGGGACATTGCAGGTGTGGAGGTGGGCATTGCGGGTACAAAGGCCCTCGGTGGAGACCTAGCCCTTTGGTCTGCTCTCAGCCCTTGATTGGCAGCACTTGACAGTTTTCTCATTCTGTAGAAGCGCTTTGTTCGTTTTACAAAGATTCCCAGTCTTGTATTTTTCCTATCTGCTCAGCCCACTTGGCCGGTCCTCGCCTGGCCCCAGATCTCCAGCGCCAGCCTCCCCGTTTCTCCCGTTTCGGGTTCTGCTGAACATGCCCTCTTGGCTTTGCCTTGCACAGCCTGACCCACTGTGCTGGTCCCCCCATTCTCTGCCACTTGAATGGTTACAGTTTGCAGCTCCCTGCTTTTGATCCCCCTTCCCTAAGCCCCTGGTCCAGCCCCAAACCCTCCGTTGGCTTTCCATGTTCATTTGGGAATCCAAAGTACTGTGGTTCCATAGGAGCACCGTTCATTTTCTTAATCTCCTATCAGGCAGTTACCTGATTCGGGGTAGCTGTTTGGTTTTGTATATACTTCCCCCCACCCGGTTTTGCTTAAATGCTTGTCTCGCACACACCTAAGCAGCTGCCCTCATCACCTTCAGCTCTTGACTCCAGTATCTCCGCGGCCACCTTATCAGACCTGCAGTCCCCTTCCCAGTGCTCCTGTGTGTGTCCCTGGTTCGTTTTCTCTGTTAGACTTTATACCATCTGAGTTACTCCAGGAGTGTCACCTACTAATTCTGGAGAAAGGGGATTTTCTTACACTACTGTCATTTCTGGCACCTTTTACTCCTAGATGGTTTAGTGTTAATGACCAGAAGCCTGGTGAGAGTGCACAGGGAGCAGGGGAGGCACTGTCAAGTGGGCTCAGAGGGTGGGTGGAGGGTCCCATCTTTGTGGGTCATGGGACATTATTGAAGGTTCCAGAGCAGAATTAAGTCACTCTAACGTGCTCCATTTGTTACTTGTATTGGATTCCATGACGTTTGCTTCATCTGACGAGTATGGAGCACCTATCTTGTGCCAGGCGCTGTGCATTGGGTCACCGAGGTGAACCGTTGACGGTCCCTTCTGACATTCACGTTTTGGGGTGTTGGGACACCTCTTTAGACTGTGCTCTCTCTCTGCCCCACTTGGAATGGACCTCAAATGTTTGACCATTTCCACCTATAGTAAAGTTTTGCTTTTTCACATTTTTTAAGTAAAAGCATGACATTTAAATGGACCTATGTCCTTATGTAAGCAGCGCATTAGTAGCACCTAGCTCAGAGTGGTAACCGACGGGCTCACGACAGCACCCGACACATACCATGAGCTCCACAGAATTAACTGTCGTCTTCATCGTGCTTGGAGAGGGGACTGCGCATTGCAGGCCTCTGCTCTTTCATTACATACCAAGTTAAACTTTTAAAGTAGTATTGAATGGTCTCCAAAAACATGCTGTGTCTTAAGATGGGACCGATCTAATTGTATTTTGTCCCGGGGGCGCTCGCCGTATTCGTGTAGTGTGCAGTGCTGTGTGCTCTCTGTTCAGGCATATTCTCATGTCACTCTTGGATTGCACCCTCTTTGACAGGTGGTTTTCCTAGAGTTTGGGGGTGTGTTTGTCAGGAAAGGGTTGGCCAGTGTATGTGTTAACATTACTTAAGGGTCGTATGCAGAGCCCTTATCCTTGTGCCTCTCCTGTGTCCCAGGTGTAACAGTTGCTGGGCATTGTTGCTGGAAGAAAAAGGATTGTTCCTACCTTGTTAAAGTTTGGTTTAGATTTTTTATGAAAGTAGGACATTTAATTTTGTACTCCTTTAATTTACTTATTTATGTTTGAATCTAAGGGGTTTCAAGAAGCGTGCCCCTCGGGCACTCAAGGAGATCCGGAAGTTTGCTGTGAAGGAGATGGGGACTCCAGATGTGCGCATTGACACCAGGCTGAACAAAGCTGTCTGGGCCAGAGGAATAAGGTCTGGAATTGTGTTATAGGATGAACCTTTAAACTTAAACCAGCTTAAGCAGCTCAGTAATTAGCTAATGCATATAGAAGTATAAAAAAATAGTGTGGCAGTAACTCAAGGGGTGGGGGGCATCTGCAGAGAAGCTGATATCTGTAATGAGACCCAAATGATGGAGCCAGCGGTGTGGGGGTCAGGTGGGAGTGTCACACAAAGAGCAAATTTGGTGTGACCTGGGAACAGGTTGATGAAGGTGGCGTTAAGGAAGTGACTTGAAGGGCGGAGAGAGGCAGGAGGCAGAGCTTAGGGAACCTTATAGGTCTTGGCAAGGAGTTTGGATTCATCTCTAGAAGCCGTTGGTTTTCAGCCATAGGCAGTTTTACTTACCCTTCTGCAGGCACCATTTTTGGTTGTAACTACTGGGGGTTGCTACAGGCCAGGGGTTCTGGTAAATATCCTAGAATGCACAAGGTATCCCCCACAGCAGAGAATTATCCAGCCCAATGTCAGTAGTGCCGAGGTTGAGAAGCCTGGCTTATAAGCAGGACGGTGTTTTTGCTGTGAAGGCGATACCAGGTGCCAGAGTGGAAGTGGGGCCAGCTGTGGGCGAGGTGTGGCATCTGGATGGTATTTCAGTGTTGGGGTTGGATGGGATGACAGAAGGACCTAAGGTCAGCCCTGTGGTGGGCCAGCATTTAGAGTTTGGTAGAAACGTCTGGCAAAGGAGTGACCGGTGATGGCTCCTTTGAGATAAGGGAGGAGTGGTGTCATAGAAGCCAAGAGTAGTCCCAGTTTCAGGACACTTAACGTTCTCAGGCCAGTAAGGGGGGGAGGGGATACAATGCACTGGGATGCTACAGAGAGGCTGGGCGAGAGGACAGTGTGCAGAAGGTAGGGAAACATTCAGTCGTCCTTTGTTCATTATAGCCTGCAGGGGTTTTAGTGTTTCTCCAGATTTAAATTTTAGACGAAGCCCATAACCATGGTTTCGGTGTTGGTGTAGAGGGAAAGACCTCTCGAGTTAGGCCTGCGTGTCTGCACAGGTTGAGTCAGTGGGGGTTGCCTACTGAGACGGGTATACACCCTGAGACAGCACTTCTCTGTACTGGCTGGTTGGTCAGAGTAGACCCCTGGACGGAGCATTAGAAGCCTGCTGCGGAAGTGGGGACTGGTGTGCGTACACCTGGCGGCTGTCCCATGACACAAGGAACTGACTCCTGCGCGTGTGTTTCTTGCTAGGAACGTCCCGTACCGGATCCGGGTGCGGCTGTCCAGGAAGCGCAATGAGGACGAAGATTCTCCAAACAAGCTCTACACGCTGGTCACCTACGTGCCCGTCACCACTTTCAAGAGTAAGTTACTCCCTTGCGCAAAGCTGCGGGTCGGGGGACAGCGTGCTGGCGGGTGTGGAAGGTTGACTGGCCGTCTCTTCTTTTGCAGATCTGCAAACAGTTAATGTGGACGAGAACTGACTGCTGAGTGTCAAATAAAGTTATAAAACGGCCTTTGAGGTGGTTTTTTAGTTTCAAGTGTAGCCTGGCTTTAGAAAGACTGCTTAGGTGGTTGGGACATGGTGCTTTCACATGCATGTTTCATTCTAAGATAAACATTTTGGCAGAAACTGGCATGTAGAACTCAATTGCCATTGGCCACTTTTCATTTTAACAAACTGAAATGGTATAGTCATGTGTATTGAGTAGATTGCCAAGAAGTATAGAATTGTCTTCTAAAATAATTGATATTTTGATGAGGTAGAGTCTGTTTAATTTACATGCACAGTTAATATTTTTGCTCACTTGTAATGGCACCATGGGATATTTCTAGTCCAGGTTACATGGAGTTAAACCTCAGAGGTAAAGCTTATACAACCTAAAATCTGAATTCAGCATGAAAGCAGTGTGGCAGGGATTAGACTACATGACTGTTGGCATCCATGTAAGCTTGCTCTGAAGCCCTGTTGGGGAGGTGGTGCAGAGCCACACTAGAGTAGAAGGCCCTGCAGTATTGCACTATTGGCTGGGAACTCAGACTCACTGGCCCAACCCAGGTCTCAAATAAGTATAAACAAACACCAAAGTCAATACAAAAATTTCTTATTAAAAAACTTGGAGGCCAACATTGAAAGCATGTTTGTACACATCTTTGTAAGGACGAGTGAATACAGCCAAATATATTAAAATGGTTTCAATTACCAGCATTGAAACAAAATTTGTGCAAAGAAAAAGCCAAATGCAATTCCGTACAGTGGCTCTTAGTTCTTAAAAGTGAACCTGACTCTGGACCTCCTGGGACCCAAGCGAAGATGTCGAGCTTGGGTGCTCCCATCCGGGTCAGCGTGATGCACGGCTCGCATTCTGAGATAAGTCAGCAGGTGTGCCCGTTCCAGTGAATCTGGTAAAAGTGGAACTGGTAATTCTCATAAAGAAATGGACCTGGCCGCTGTGGCTTGGTTGGTGGGAGCATCATCCTATGCACCGGAAGGTTGCGGGTTCGATCCCGGGTCAAGGTGCGTATGGGAGGCAACCAACATCAGTGTTTCCCTGCCTCCCTCTGAAAAAAATTAAAAACCAGTTTAAAAGAATAAATAGAAATGTTGAGGGTTGCATCTGTTCTGCTGGCCACAGCTGGGGCTGTCGGGTTGCTTACCCAGACTGTGGAATATACTCAAAATGCATTAGACTGAAATCTGGATTTATGGGCTGACAACCCATGAAATGGGGGTTCTTGCCTTGTTATGGCCGGCTCGGCTCAGCAAACCACTATCTTGCTTGAGTTCAGACTGTGATTGGCTGCTCATTTCAAAAGTTTTGAGACTGTACTGGTTGATCTTGGCATTTTCAAGTTTGGATTTAATGTCCAGTGGCTTTTCAAAAAAGTTTACTAATGACTGTTCAGTCAGCAGTGAAGCTAAAATGTGCTCAAGGGAGACTGTCCAGTCCCCTTCTGCCTCTTCAGGAAATGCCTGGGGAGCCGTCCCAGAGTCAGTGTCCACAAAAACAGAGTCCTGTGCGGGAGAAGGAGCCGAGGCCCGCAGCTCCTCCGCACTGTCCTGGGAGCAGCTCCCAGAGCTGCTGCTTCGCTGCCCCACTTCCCCGATCTGTAGCAGCAGAGTGGTTACCGTGGCAATGGCTTGATACAAGTCGTTTTCTTCCGGATCTTCGTGGAACATACTGTACAAAGTTTTACAGAACTGGATAAATTCTCTCTAGAACACAAAAGAGTACATAGCATAACCAGGATGGAAGTATAATGCATTAAACTTTATACTTAGAGAAAACAGTACTTTCTGAAGCAAAATATGAGAAAAGGTAGCCTCTGCCCTTTGCTTCCAGGGGTTTTCAGCACACTTAGTGTGCTATTTGTCTATAACAACTGTTAAGAGAGATTTGTGTACAGGGCTGTTTGAGCTAAGGGTTACAACAAGGAATGGCTTGTCCATCTGCTGGGGCTGCTGTGCAGCAAAGAAAGGGCGTGACGTGAAGGGCAGTGATGGCCGACGACTGATGCTCCTGAAATTAAACACTCACCTGCCCAAGTGGAGACTGATGGGAGACTTGGCCACACAGTTACTCTAGGGATAGGAAAATGGTGACCGAGAACTAACTATAAATATTTAATGATTGAGGAGAAATAGCCATAATCATTTTGAAGTAAATGAAAGCCCGGTATTGACGCTGCCCATCTTTGTTTATAGTAAGGAGGTGATGTTAAATTGTATCTGCATGGCGACAACTCTGGACGATGAGATTTAACTGGTTTTTTTTAATTGTGTAACTGACATACAACATTCCGATTTAAGTGACTATATCCAAGTAGTAGAGGGAAAACTGGAAAGGAATTCCCAACAGAAATATGTGAAATATTTCTTGTGAAATGTGCCAGGAAATATGAATCCCAAAAGATGATCTGGGGTCAAAATAAAACCGAGAAACACTGCACGCTAGATTCCCCTCGGGAAGCTCATGGTACATACTAGCACCAAAAAGGCCCTAGAACAAAGGACTTTCCAACCTGAAGCCTGCATCTCCCAAACACGAAGGAACCCTTTTCAAATAAGTGAACTTACTGCTATCATTTGCTTGAATGTGGCACAGACCCCTTGTGGGGGTCACACGAAGGTTTGAGACTTAACAGGAACTGCCTATTATAAGCATGATTTTAAAGCAGCTGAAGGGCACTAGTCTTTAAGGGGAGAAAGGGACTGACAAAGCCCTTCAAAGACAAGCAGCAGCCTTCTGTTTCGAAGAGCTCTGAATACCTTACTGGATCACATTTTAAATATTTCCCATTTAATCACCACAATGTTTCACTCCCAGAAGTTACAAGATCCTTTGATTATGGCTTTGGAGGTAAAGAGGCCCCAGATTAGTTATCAAGCTTAGTTCTGAGCAAAATGTTTGCAAAATAGTTCATTATTTACACAGAATAACATCCGTACCTGGCTCATTTGTGGCAATTCTGTCTCAATTTTATCTTTTTCTTTGGCTAAATCCTTAATCATCTGCTTTAGTTGTTTCTGATAATCAGTTGTATCACCTGAGACGACAGGAAACACAATATATACTTTAAGTAAATTCAATAAAAGCAAAATATATAGAAGGGGGTAGTGAGGGGACAAGGGATTAAACCAAGATCTATAAACAGGGTCACTGACGACACGGGAGGGACGGTTTGTTTTACAACTGACCACAAATGGAGTGTGGCCACTGGGTGACTTGCTACAAGAGGACCCTGAAACATTAAGCAAGAGGAATAAACAAGGTAAGGTTGGGGCAGTCACCCAGGTTTCTGGCCTTTGGAAGCAGTGGGCTGTGTGAACTCAGGAGGGAGGGTGTAGGTACTGTGGTGGGCCTGACAAGGTAACAACGAAAAGAGGTACGTGCCATTCGGTTTCCCAAAAACCAGGGGTCTGGAGGTCGACAACAGAGGATTCTTTAATGGTGACTGGCTGTCTCGGTCATTTTCAGTGAGTGCTTAAAAAGAGATTGAACAAGTTATTTTAACCAAAATGAAAGCTTTCGGGTAAGGAAACTAACAGCTAAGTGAGCCTGTGGGCTGCATGCAGCCTTTGCAGGGTCTGTGAACCCAGGTGCACCCCCAGCACCGGATGCAGAATAAAGAAATGTCGCACACACCAAGGTAGTCTCCTCCGGATGCGTGGAGGGCTGCTGTAACCAATGACACCAGTTCACAGGGCTGGCAGATACGGCCCAGAGGATGGTGTAGTGAAGTCCTCTGGTTAAACAGATGTGAGTTTGTATGTACGTATGTACTACATAAATTTTACAAATAAAGACCAAGTCTTTGAATGGGACAGTAAGTCATTGTTTTAAACTTTTCACGTTATGTTTTTTCTATAATGAGCACGTACTGCTATATTACATAATTTCTAACAAAAGTTGAAAAAGTTTTACTGAATTAAAAGCATTTTATTACAAGTTTTGAAATGCACAAAAGTACAATTAAATCCGAAACCTAATACACTGCTGGTGGAAATAGAAAATGTTACTGCCAGCCCAGCCGGGCGTGGCTCAGCGGTTGAGCATCGACCTAGGATCCAGGCGATCAGGGTTTGATTCCCGTTCAGGGCACAGGCCCGGGTTGCGGGCTGCAGCCCATCAATGACTCTCATCATTGATGTTTCTCTCTCTCCCCTCTCCCTTCCTCTCTGAAATCAATAAAGATATATAAAAAAAAGAAAATGTTACTGGCAGTTCCTCAAAAAGTTGAACAGTACTATTCAACCCAGAAGTTCCACCAGTTACACACCAAAGGGAAATGGAAGCGTGTCAGCTCAAAAACGTACACACGTTTGTAGCAGCATCGTTCACGAGAGTGGAGAAGTGGGAACAAACCCCCGGCCCATCAGCTGGTGAACAGATGCAGACACGAAGGCAGCCCACCAGCCCGAGCGCCACTTCAGCCATAGGATGCAGCACTGAGCCGTGCCAGCAACGAGCCTTGAAAACAGCCAGGCAGCCCACATCCTGCATGAGCTCTTCATAGGCAATACCTGGGCGAGGCAAGTCTGCAGGCAGCAGGCGAAGCGGGCAGGCAGGGGCAATGCTGAAGAGCTTTTTGGGGTGAAGTTTCCTAAAACTGATGACGGTTGCATAACTGAATATACGCAAAGTTATTGGATTGTACACTTTAAATGAGTTAACTTTACAGTATGTTAGTTATAGTCAATAAAACTTACAAAAACACTTCTAAGGGGATTACGGACCAAGGATCCACATTAAAAGCTTGACGCTTACTAGCAAGCCATTCACCGAGAGGAAGTCAAAGGCAAAGTCCAGCTGTGACTGAACAAACGCAAGATGCCCCAAAGCCTTGATAAGCCTACGCTCTTTCCTGGGAACGTAGGTCTCTGGGTTTTTTCCCAATTTTTTTCTTTTTTCTATACTGGAGACATTGAGTCATTCTTTCTCCCAACTTTGCCCCAAACAAATTCTACACAGTGGCATACGTGAGAAGCCACTCAGAAACTGAACGGGAGGGAAACGACAAATCCCAGATGGTCCTTGGGGCAGTCACGATGGGAATGGACTTCCTAGGTAACAGCCGCTGAGATGTCAACAGGATACTGGGCACCTATCCTCAAGAGCTTGGTATCTCAAACGGAAGCAGCATGGTCACAAGTCACAGACAAAATGCTTCCACGAAGAACCAATAAGCACACCCAGAGTGGAACAATTCGAGCAGCGGGCATGTGTCCAGGAAGGAGGCAGATAAAGGGTCCGCAGTGACACGGAACCAGGAGGCTGGTCAGCCACAGAGCAGCGCTTCCCAGTGTCCTTCCAGTCCCGGCACACAGAACACAGGACCTGGACTGGAGAAGGCCTGGAGCTCACTACAAAAACTCATCGATTTATGATCAGAAATACAGGACACAGCACATTAGGGAAAATAGTAAACACTGTCTTATATACAGTCTTTAAATGTACTTTCGGTCTTTTTAAATGAGCTATTTGAGCTCACTTTTATAAATGTAACCTTAGTTTTATATTCCAATATATATGTAACTCATAATTCAAGACTGAGTTAAGAAACATTTCTATTAAAGTTTTCATTGTCTCTCACTTCAAGGCCTGCACAAGTTAAAATCTGATGAGTGATTTACACTTGGTTATCTGAAACTCCCTTACCTCTTACATATACTGCTTTCAGCACAATTTGGCCTTCAGATGCAGCTGAGAGATTAGTCATCAAAATAATACCATTCTCCGTATTTTCTTCTTGCAAAAGCAATACAGTGCCCTCCTCCCACCCCTCCACAGCGGTTGGAAAAAGCAGTCAACCTACAGGACTTCCATTTGGATTATGGATTCAATGTGTCCGAGTCACCAATATGGAAATCAACCAAAGTATCCAACCCGTGACTCAGGTATCTACTGTAAAAAATATCTTGAGCCCGGCCAGTGTGGCTCAGTGGCTGAGTGTCGACCCATGAACCAGGAGGTCACAGTTCGATTCCCGGTCAGGGCACATGCCTGGGTTGTGGGCTTGATTCCCAGTAGGAGATGCAGGAGGCAGCCCATCGATGTTTCTCTCTCTCTCCCTCTCCTTTCCTCTCTGAAATCAATAAAAACATATATATGTTTTTGGGGGGGTTTTCCACTTGAGATATATTAAGTACTGGATGCTGGGACCATAAATCGTTTCTTCATGGCTTCCTGACAATGTAATAACAACAGGGATCTTCAGCACCTCACTTCTCTCTTTTAAAAAGGTCAATGAAATCTTCAATTTCACATCAGGTTTTTGAGGTTTGTACTCTACACTTCTCATATTTTTAAAAATCTTCTCGTGGCATTTTCAGCTCTGAATCCAAATCCAAAGAAGAGATCTCTCATCTCGCCCAGGTTGTCCATCACCACATCAGTGAGCCTAGTACCCCTTCTGTTGGTGTCAATTCTGCCCAAGTTGTTAGGCCAGAATGTCAACTGTCATTTTGTGTGTCCTGGGAGAAGTTGACAAAGTTTCCTCAGTCTGTCACCTGTTTTCAAAATCGGTCTCCTCCAACTGCCTCTTCACACTGACTTTCCAGTCCCTGAAGGAAGTTCTTGACCCTGGGCGGGGTGATCCTTTAGCTCATGCCTGGTTGGTAGCCTCTTCAGGCATGCACCTGGGTCGTGCCCATTAATACTCTGGTCCTTAGAGCAGTGGAGCGATCTGCCAGTTTTCTTAGCTTCCAGTAGATATTCTGACACAGCGGCACATTCCCAAAAGCCGGAATGTTTATTTTCAGTATTGTTTCTCAGCATAACCACAAGAAAAGGCTGACCGAAGAGAGCCAATGTGGTAGGTATAACATGAGCGCCAAACTTTCCTCTCAGGCAGTCAGTCGCCAGTGCTCTGTACTCTGGTCCCGCTGATGGCCATTTCAAACACTACCCCACTCCGCAGCACTGCTCAGGCTTTCGTCCCGTGAACACTCTGTGGATCTGACTGTGTCTCAGCACCTGCCGTCCCGTCTGCAGGTGCTCCTGGCAAAGCAATGTCAGCAAAGATGTGGTATGTTTCTAGTTGTACTGTGTAGGTTTAGAAAGTGGGTCCATTCTAAGTAAATGGACTTTTAATATTAGTTTTCCTACTCATAATACTGAAATGGCTACGTACAATTCCTGATTAGCACTTTTAAATAATGACCTCTTCCAAACAGTCCCTGTCGCAGGAAGGTAAAGGTGAGGGGCATCTTTACTTGATGAAAACTCCTTCCTTGTCACTACCAAGAACTGGATGGTTCAAATGCTGTTTTACTTTACTTCAAGGGTGTGGTCGTTCCACAGGTCAAACAGCTTCTCCCCTCACTGGCCAATGTAATGTTGAAAAAGTTCTGGCTAATATAACTAGATTTTAATCCAATCAACATTATTTTCTATATCGAGGATTTCAAAACAAAGCTTTTCCTCAAACACAGATTACTGCTCTTTTAGCCTATAATTACGTTTCAGGATTCAAATAACAACACTAACTTCACTAAAGGAGCATTCATAACCTCACTCTTCTCTGAGTTTTTGCTTGGACTCCATACTCATCAGAATAGGTTAATACATTTTCAGGAACTCTTTCAGTTTTCAATTACATCCACTCAGGTTTTCAACACTTTAAGTCTTTTTAAAATAACTATCTTTAACCAAATTGCCAATTAGAATTATTCACACAGTTTTTCCTCTTAACTTCAGCAAACTCCTTTGGACAGCAAATGTACTTTGGTTTGTATAAAACATCAGGAAGAAACCTCTACTTCTTCATGCGAAGCTGAACACAAAGAGCTGCCTGAATTTTACTAGATTCGACACTTTAAGATCCATTTAATGAGGCTCCAGGCCAGCAGGGGAACCTGGAGAGCTGCTCTGCCAGCGCTCGCCCCCGACTCCCGCAGCCTCGGGGAGGGCCTGCCGCGGCTGCTCCGGTGCGCCGGGTGCGGCTCCCCCTCACTGCTGCCAACATCTCCTCCTCGGCCGCTTGTTTTGATGCTTCTCTATAATGAAGCTGATGCTCTTCCAGGAATCTGTCTCTGGAAGTCCAGTTAGTGTAATTAACTGAGCAAAATGACCAATATCTTCAGATTTATCATCTGCTATGAAACTGCTGATTTCATAACCTTCTGGAATACCTGACACGGTTTCAAATCACCTGGAATACTTCGTTTCTGTTTCCTNGACTTTCCAGTCCCTGAAGGAAGTTCTTGACCCTGGGCGGGGTGATCCTTTAGCTCATGCCTGGTTGGTAGCCTCTTCAGGCATGCACCTGGGTCGTGCCCATTAATACTCTGGTCCTTAGAGCAGTGGAGCGATCTGCCAGTTTTCTTAGCTTCCAGTAGATATTCTGACACAGCGGCACATTCCCAAAAGCCGGAATGTTTATTTTCAGTATTGTTTCTCAGCATAACCACAAGAAAAGGCTGACCGAAGAGAGCCAATGTGGTAGGTATAACATGAGCGCCAAACTTTCCTCTCAGGCAGTCAGTCGCCAGTGCTCTGTACTCTGGTCCCGCTGATGGCCATTTCAAACACTACCCCACTCCGCAGCACTGCTCAGGCTTTCGTCCCGTGAACACTCTGTGGATCTGACTGTGTCTCAGCACCTGCCGTCCCGTCTGCAGGTGCTCCTGGCAAAGCAATGTCAGCAAAGATGTGGTATGTTTCTAGTTGTACTGTGTAGGTTTAGAAAGTGGGTCCATTCTAAGTAAATGGACTTTTAATATTAGTTTTCCTACTCATAATACTGAAATGGCTACGTACAATTCCTGATTAGCACTTTTAAATAATGACCTCTTCCAAACAGTCCCTGTCGCAGGAAGGTAAAGGTGAGGGGCATCTTTACTTGATGAAAACTCCTTCCTTGTCACTACCAAGAACTGGATGGTTCAAATGCTGTTTTACTTTACTTCAAGGGTGTGGTCGTTCCACAGGTCAAACAGCTTCTCCCCTCACTGGCCAATGTAATGTTGAAAAAGTTCTGGCTAATATAACTAGATTTTAATCCAATCAACATTATTTTCTATATCGAGGATTTCAAAACAAAGCTTTTCCTCAAACACAGATTACTGCTCTTTTAGCCTATAATTACGTTTCAGGATTCAAATAACAACACTAACTTCACTAAAGGAGCATTCATAACCTCACTCTTCTCTGAGTTTTTGCTTGGACTCCATACTCATCAGAATAGGTTAATACATTTTCAGGAACTCTTTCAGTTTTCAATTACATCCACTCAGGTTTTCAACACTTTAAGTCTTTTTAAAATAACTATCTTTAACCAAATTGCCAATTAGAATTATTCACACAGTTTTTCCTCTTAACTTCAGCAAACTCCTTTGGACAGCAAATGTACTTTGGTTTGTATAAAACATCAGGAAGAAACCTCTACTTCTTCATGCGAAGCTGAACACAAAGAGCTGCCTGAATTTTACTAGATTCGACACTTTAAGATCCATTTAATGAGGCTCCAGGCCAGCAGGGGAACCTGGAGAGCTGCTCTGCCAGCGCTCGCCCCCGACTCCCGCAGCCTCGGGGAGGGCCTGCCGCGGCTGCTCCGGTGCGCCGGGTGCGGCTCCCCCTCACTGCTGCCAACATCTCCTCCTCGGCCGCTTGTTTTGATGCTTCTCTATAATGAAGCTGATGCTCTTCCAGGAATCTGTCTCTGGAAGTCCAGTTAGTGTAATTAACTGAGCAAAATGACCAATATCTTCAGATTTATCATCTGCTATGAAACTGCTGATTTCATAACCTTCTGGAATACCTGACACGGTTTCAAATCACCTGGAATACTTCGTTTCTGTTTCCTTTGCTGAGCAGTGTTGAGACATCAAGGAGCCAATGAAGTGAGCTCTTCTGGAACTGAGCGCCTCCTGGTTCCTGAGTGGCATCAGACACCTTCGTAAGAAAGCTCACAAAGCCCGTGGCCTCCCCTGGGGCCCTCGCTGAGCTTCAGGCTCGCAGCACATCCAGGTGCTGAGGAGCCTCACCTGGTACCCACCTTCCACCAGGCACACAAATTCAAACTTGTAATCCTCAGGATACTTTCTAATTAGTGAGTTAAACTTTTTTTCCAACTAGTGAGTTTGTCCTACCATTAATCAAAAAGTTATTTGTTATTGGTGGGAAGTACATATTTGTTAAAATTAAATCTATTTAAATGAAAATACTTAAATGTTTGTGGATCATCATAGCCTTGGCAAGCTGATGTGTTTAAATGTAGGTCTTAGGATCTGCATTCTATTTTTTTTTTTAAATATGCTTTTATTGATTTCAGAGAGAGGAAGGGAGAGGGAGAGAGAGATAGAAACATCAACGATGAGAGAGAGTTATTGATCGGCTGCCTCCTGCACACCCCCTATTGGGGATCAAGCCCACAACCTGAGCATGTGCCCTGACCAGGAATCGAACTGTGGCCTCCTGGTTCATGGGTTGATGCTCAACTACTGAGCCACACCGGCCGGGCAGGATCTGCATTCTTAAGACTTTAAAAACTGCATAAAAATTCAAATGTTAAATATAGGTAAACCAAATAATATATCAAATCTTAACTTCCACTTAATTTTAAATTCAGAGTCACACCATATAAATATTACAATCATATATGTTCAGAACATTTTTGAAAAATTGATTTTCTGAAGCCATTAAAGGTCTACAAATGCCTTTAATGGGTTAATATAATTAAAATATGTCTTTCTGTCTGGCCAGCGTGGCTCAGCAGTTGAGCACTGACCTATAATCCAGGAGATCATCATTCGATTCCCGGTCAGGGCACATGCCTGGGTTGCGGCTCGATCCCCAGTTGGGGGTGAGGCAGCCGATCAATGGCTCTCTCACCATTGATGTTTCTCTCTCTCTCCCCCTCTCCCTTCGTCTCTCCGAAATCAATAAAGACTTACTTTAAAAAATAAAATGTCTTTTAGGAATAAACTTGTAATTTGGAAACAATAATTCAATATGAAGTTGTATTAAGAATCAAATAGCAATCTCAAATGATATCAAGACTAAGAACTATCTATATGATCTTTGTTACTTTTCTATAAATCAAAAATTATCCCAAAATAAAGTTATTTTAAATTCAAGATAAAAATAATCGAATAGCCCGGCCGGGCGTGGCTCAGCAGTTGAGCGTCAACCTAGGATCCAGGCGATCAGGGTTCGATTCCTGGTCAGAGCACATGCCCGGGTTGCGGGCTCGATCAATGACTCTCTCATAATGATGTTTCTATCTGTCTGTCTCCCTCTCCTTTCCTCTCTCTGAAATCAATAAAGATATATTTTATAATAATAATAATAAAATCAACCATGTTCTATTTAGCAATAGCAGACATAATGATTATGGAGAGACAACAGTGAGGACAATGGTGCTGACAGGAATAATTACGCTCGTCTCCTGTGTTAGGAGAACACTCGGGAGAAATAAGGGCAAATGACGTCGGCATGAAAGGCAAAGAGCATCACTGACGCTAACCACCTGCGCTGACGGGGAAGTGATGATGAGAGCTGGGAGGCGGACAGCAGCTGTGGCTGCTGCAGAACACCCTGCAGACAGCGTGCACACTGTTCACACCAGCTCAGGAAGTGCACCCAGGGGCCCTCAGCAATATTCACATGCATTTTCAATGTCACTACAGGAAAAAGCCACCAGGCTCTCTTGGCCTGGAAACCGAACAGCGCAGTGGCCTCCATGGTGCCCTCGGTGGGAAGTTCTGTCAGAGGCTCCGCATCTAGCACCACAGCCAGGGCACTTTGTCCAGAAACCTTCTGGAACTCCTAGCCCACCTGTCAGTTTCAAGGTCCATGGAATACTTTCAGGTTAACAGCAAGTCTGACCCCACAGACTTCAGAACTGCTTCAGTTGTTCCTGCTTCCTTAAACCTCAAGGAAGCAAGGCTTACATGTTGGAAAAATGAAATGGTTCTTCAAAAACAGTCGTGTGAAACAGCGATCTGTGAAGGCCACCAGGGTCTGGCTTCCCCTACACTCCACAGGCCAGGGGTTCACAGGTGTGGTCCTCAGACCTGGCGAGTCAGAAACCCAGGGGTGGGGCTAGGGGCCTGTGCTAACAAGTCCTGCAGGAGATTCTGCGGTGACTCGAGTCTGGGAACCACTGTTATAGGCCACACAATACGGCACTTAAGATCTGCCATCAGGAACCCTAAGCTACAAACAGCTGTTGTTTTGAGTCTAAATGAAATTTAAAAAGAACTTGAGGCCCTGCTCGGTGTGGCACAGTGGTGAGAGTCATCCTGTGCACAGAAGGTCATCGGCTGATTCCCAGTCAGGGCACACGCCTGGGGTTGCAGGTTCATCCCCAGTCGGGCATGTAAGGGAGGCAACCGGTCTACGTTGCTCGCTCTCTCTCCCCCCCTTCCTCTCTAAGTCAATAAAAATATTTAAAGATAAAATTAAATAAAAATAAAAAGAACTTGAGTGTTGTGCGCAAAGCTGATCTATGTCAATCAGAACAGAGCCCAATGTTCCTGCTGCCTCTTACCTGGAGGAATGTGAAGTTTATAGAGCAGTTTAATTTTCTCATTCATTTCTCCATTGTACATAATATCTGGGGAGAGAGAAAGGGGCGATGCAAACAGTTAAAGTACATGTGTCATGACACACACTCGCTGTGCGGAGAGAACCTAGTAAGGTCGACACTGCTGACCCAGAGCTTCCTCTTCCCCTGCTCCCGGACACACACTGTCTGCAATGAAAATGAGAAAAAAGGTGGGGACTGGGGAGTGTTGAGCTCATGAATTTTGTCTGACCTCACACCTTTGGAAAGATTTTTATTTTATGTGTTAGCATTAGGAACGTGGCTTCTCACAAGCACTCACCACACCCTGGGTGCCAAGAACAAGGTCAATGACCTCATGTGTGGAGAGCCTGTGCCCCTCTCCCTTAAGGAAGCATAAAAACAGAGGAGCCTGCAGAGTGATTTTTAAAATTACAAACTCCTGTCGGGCTAATCACAGGTACATGTAATCGTTTCTGCTACACAATCCACTTAGTATTGTGCTCACTGGCTCACATCCCAAATCAACTCATTGCAATAAACACAGTCATACCGAGACAGCTCACGAATGCTTTGAATTCGATAAGATGGTCCATGTTGTCATCCAGAAGCCTGAAAGTCCTCTCAGCGAGGATCTCTGTGTGGGCCCCACAGGTCCATGGCGAGACGAGCTGAAACAGGTGTGCAAACTGCTGGCCGTCTATGCGGTACTGCTCTGCGTAGGGCCTGCTGGGGTCATGGCGAGAGACCACGGGCCTGGGCTGCTCCCAGTAACAGCTCATCATGTGCTCTCTCTTAAAACAAGAGGGAGAGAGGGATCTGTGAGAGGGGGATCTGTGAGAGGGGATCTGTGAGAGGGGATCTGTGAGAGGGGATCTGTGAGGGGGATCTGTGAGAGGAGGATCTGTGAGAGGGGGATCTGTGAGAGGGGATCTGTGAGAGGGGGATCTGTGAGAGGGGATCTGTGAGGGGGGATCTGTGAGGGGGGATCTGTGAGGGGGATCTGTGAGAGGAGGATCTGTGAGAGGGGGATCTGTGAGAGGGGATCTGTGAGAGGGGATCTGTGAGAGGGGATCTGTGAGAGGGGACCTGTGAGAGGGGATCTGTGAGGGGGGGATCTGTGACGGGGGGATCTGTGAGAGGGGATCTGTGAGAGGGGATCTGTGAGAGGGGGATCTGTGAGAGGGGACCTGTGAGGGGGGATCTGTGAGGGGGGATCTGTGAGAGGGGATCTCTGAGGGGAGATCTGTGAGAGGGGGATCTGTGAGAGGGGGATCTGTGAGAGGGGGCAGCACACTTAAGAGCCAAGGCTGACATGACCTCNGGGGGATCTGTGAGGGGGATCTGTGAGGGGGGATCTGTGAGAGGGGATCTGTGAGAGGGGACCTGTGAGAGGGGATCTGTGAGGGGGGGATCTGTGACGGGGGGATCTGTGAGAGGGGATCTGTGAGAGGGGATCTGTGAGAGGGGGATCTGTGAGAGGGGACCTGTGAGGGGGGATCTGTGAGGGGGGATCTGTGAGAGGGGATCTCTGAGGGGAGATCTGTGAGAGGGGGATCTGTGAGAGGGGGATCTGTGAGAGGGGGCAGCACACTTAAGAGCCAAGGCTGACATGACCTCCCACGGCTTACTCTACACCTTGTAAAATTGCATATAAGCAACATTATAACACAAACATGAAAAAAATTAAATTACAATCTCACCACTCTAACCAGACATGTAAAAGTTCCTTGTTACCACAAGAATATGTAATTTGGACATCTTTTTTATTAAGGTTTATTTTTCATTTTAACTAATTTTAAATGTACAGTTCAGCTGCCATAGTTTTAATTGTAGACATGCAATGTTTAATCTGATATTTTCTCTCAAAGTCCTATTTGAAAAATGGAAAGTACTAGGCAAAGCTATAGGATACAAAAGAAACTAACCACACTGGCCAGTGTCAGGAGGGAAAAGGGCTGGGGACCCAAATGCGAAGCAAGTCTCTTTCCTGCATACTTCTTTATATGTTCTGAATTTTGAACTACATGAATATATTAACAATTCAAAAAATTAAAAGTAAAAAACACAGGTGGTTTGAAAAAGTCTGGGTAATAAGACTGAAAGCTGAAGCAATTGAGAAATAGCCATGTCCCTGAGGACAGCTGAGCCTCTTCAGGACACACCCTCCCCCTGCCCCGGAGCTGAGTCCCCTCCTGGGATAGATATCTCAACTCACTAAAACTGGCCCCAAACTGCAGATCACTCACAATTTCAATGCCTCCGACTATAAGGACGGCACAGAACAAATGCTGATGCTGTGACATGCCAGCGCACATTCCATTTTGGATAGAAACCAAAATGCCATTCATCACTTTACTGTCTACTCACTGCAGCCATGTTCTTTAAATAGCCTTTGCAGAATCGTGAAAAGTACCACAGAGGTCTAATAATCTCCGTTCCTGAAAACCCAAGACAGGCTATGGATTTCCATGTGTATCTGTGCAGCCTGTGATGCTAAAGGCCCACAGAACCCTGCCCAGAGAAAACCGTTCTATAAGCCAAGGACTAATCCAACCAGTTTACACAGCATCCTACAAAAACAAACCAATAAAAAACAGGCAAAGGGTCCGAACAGGTGATAAGCCAATAAACTTCTGGAATGGTACTCAACCTCACCAATGAGTAAACAAACTTAACAGAAAATACTATTTTCTACAAGACTAGAAAGTTTTCAAAGATCTGTAATATTAAATGCGGGTGCGTGTGGACCGTAGGAAATGAGCATCTCAGACAGCCTTGGGGAAACTGGAATTTGGAAAATAAACCACACTTCCAGTCCTGACTGTGTGCTCCGCAGGGACCCGCTCTGCAGGGACAGCGGTGCCGAGCCCTGGGGGGGCACAGGGATGGCCACTCAGGGCGGCAGTTTACAGGGCAGCAAAGCACGGAAACAACATGAACGTCCCTGAATGGGTAAATGTTAAATAAATTACGGTTCAGCTCCACAGTGACACTGTGCAGCCATTAAGGAAGGAATGATGAGATCTGATAGGGAGAGGCCGGCGGCTGTGCGTGTCAGCGTCAACTTTCTGACTTCGATGGTTTGCTAGGTTATAGATCTGAATGTCTGTTCTTGTAGAAAATACATAATACTTGGGGGTAATGAGACAGTGGGTTCTCAGATGGTTCAGGAAAAAACCTTTTTGACCTAAAAAAAAACACATTTTCTGTGAATTTTAAATAATTAAAATATTTTGTAAATGAAGTTTTTTCCCAGACAGCCTCTTCCCATTCTGATCACTCTATTGGTCGAGTGCTCCTGAACATTACTACATTTTACATATATTTGTGTAAATATTATCTCCTTACTGGGGATTCTTCTACTTCTGGTGTATTTATTTCCTCAATGAAATTATTAAACACCAAAAGAACATAAAAAAAAAAAAAAAAGCATGACTGCCCGGCCAGGCGTGGCTCAGCGGTTGAGCGTCGACCTAGGATCCAGGCGATCAGGGTTCGATTCCCGGTCAGGGCACATGCCCGGGTTGTGGGCTCGATCAATGACTCTTGCATCATTGATGTTTCTGTCTCTCTCTCTTCCTCTCTCTGAAATCAATAAAGATATATATTAAAAAAAAAAAAAAAGCATGGCCAAGCTGCAGATACTGATTTAGAAAAATGTCCATAATAAAATTGCAGACCAGCATGTGTCGCATATTCTCACTTTTCCTGGAACAAAAGACTAAGCATGTGTGTGTTGACAGACAGCATGGGGGATCAGGAAGGATGCGCCATATTGGGACAGCGGTGACTTGTACAAGACAGGACTGCAGGTGCTGGTAGGATAAGATCCTTTCATTTTGCTTAAAAGTGTTATTTTTTTGCCCAGCTGGGTGTGGCTCAGCGGTTGAGTGTCGGCCTAGGATCCAGGTGATCGGGGTTCGATTCCTGGTCAGGGCACATGCCCAGGCTGTGGGCTCGATCAATGACTCTCTCATCATTGATGTTTCTGTCTCTCTTTCCCTCTCCTGTCCTCTCTCTGAAATCAATAAAAGATATATTAAAAAAAATAAAAGTGTTATTTTTATGTTTTCAATGGTGAGAGTAGATATAATTCTATTTCCTTTGTTCTGTATTTTTTAATTAAATGTTGACAATAAAAGTCTTAACCAGAACAAGATGACAAGCAAAATAATACTAAAAAGACCGAATGCTCTCCAGGGCCTAATAACCCAGCGAGAGTGAACGAGCGCAGCTGATCAAGAGGAGCGGCCGAGGGACTCCACAGGCCCGGCCCCAGTCGGTGTTTCCAGGAGTCGCCTGTGACGCCGAGTATGTATTATACTGTCCATGTCTTACTTGGAGAGATGACTAATGACACGGTTCTCTATTAGAAAGAACAGGAGATGGGCATCACAAATCTGAATTTATGTCATTTACAAGACTGCTTTACAGCATGGGTGGACCTAGGGGGTATCGTGCCAAGTGAAATAAGGCAGACAGAGAAGACAAATACCGCGTGACCTCACTTACATGTAGAATCTAAAAAACAAAACAAGAATGAACAACAACAAAAAACAACAAACTCACAGAAAGAGTTCACAGCTGTGGTGATGGTGGGGGCGGGGGACTGGGAAGGTGGGCAAAGGCACAAACTCGGGATTCCAGGCGAATGCTGGGACAGCATGTGCAGCGTGACGGCCGTGTTACCCCTGTTGCGTGGCGTGTGTGCAAGTGGCTAAAAGAATATGTATTAAAAGTTCTCATCACAAAGAAAAGAAACATTTTCTTCTTTTTGTATCTGCATGAGAAGGTGGGTGTTAACTAAACTTGCTGTGGCGGTTGTTTCAGAATATCAGTGTCATTCTGCTAGAGGCCTTTCTGTGTCAATTATATCTCAATAGAAATGAAAGGAAGTAAAAGAACTGCATTAAAGGATAGAAAAGACTGCTTCAAATTAACAATAGAAATAGATTTCATCCAGTACCAACCACACTGTTCGTCTTCAACAGGAAACAGTATGTAAAGGTGACCATCAGAGCTGACTATCCTGGTTAACGTACGAAATGGTCACTCTGCACGTCCCAGGCTTAGGGAAGATGCAGTCAAGTTACAGACGGACTCCTGAACCCAGCCCTTCAAGGCCCTCGCCCTTAAGAAATTAGAATTCTGATTCAAAAGACAAGAGGTGCACGTGAAATCCAACTAGAGAGCACCATGCCCCACAGCACTTAATCAAGTACTAAAATAGGAGAAATCCACCTGTGAAAGCCAAGGACCCTCAGGGGGCAGGAGGCAGGGGAGAAGGGGCCGCCCGAGGCTGCTGGGCGGAGCATGATGCTGGCTTGGGCCTGGAAGGAAGCTGGGCGTGTACACAAAGCAGGCGTTGAGGATTTCCGACAGATTTAGACACCACGATTATGACACTATTTTACTGGAATTTCCTTTGGAGATATATTTTCAAAATTATCTTGTATTTATAGTTTTTAAGTTTATATTTGTAGTTAGTGCTACAAAAATGAAAGACTTATAGGGCTAACTACAAATACAAAAATGAATTTCATTAAGTACCAATCACATCATTCATAGGAAAGGTAGAAATAGGAAACAAGAAGTAGTCAGTTCTGCCTTCTTTAAAAGCCCTTTATGTTACAGAGGAATGACATGATTAGTGCTTAATGAAACAAATTTAAAGCAATCTTTCAGATTACATAACTTCAGATGTGTGACATCGATATTCCCTTAAATTGAGAATAGCTAACCTAAATGAGTGGCCGACTGTCCGTGCTAAACAACACTGGTTTCCGTGCTCTTGTGTTTCTAGTATTCCCTGTTTCCTTCTAGAAAGTCAGAGGGCTCGGGACACCGAGTAACCTTGGACTTTGAATTTTCTCTTCCTGCAAGAGAGGAAACTGTAAGACTTGAAAACAGGTGATGTTTCCTGCTTGTCGTGAACGAGGAATGCCGGGAACCTAAGCGCCAAGGATCCTTTCCGGTGGCCAAAGAGAAGCAACTGGCCCACAGAGGCTCAGCCAGCCACTCAGACTGCGGTTGCTTATCACTATTTCCGCTATTTTGGCAATTTGAGTTCAGAAGTGACAGCAGCTTGTAGTTCCAGCAGGAGGAGCTCTGGAGGCGGACTCCTCACTGCCGGACTTGATTCCTATCACTGCTCTTCCCCCTCCCTGCCAGGCCTCTGGAGGGCATCAATGTGTCAGCCTCTCTTCCCCATTTTTATTTACTGCTCCCAGCAAGAAAACGTCTAGCAAAGCATTTGAAAATGTTCTTTGCAGCCTGGCCAGTGTTGCTCAGTGGTGAGTCATCCCATGCACCAAGAGGTCACAGTTCAATTCCAGGTCAGGGCACATGCCAGGATTGTGGGCTGCATCCCCAGTGGGGGGCGTGCAGGAGGCAGCTGACCCATGACTCTCTCATCACTGATGTTTCTCTCTCTCTCCCCCGTCTCTTCCTCTCTCTCTAAAATCAGTAACAAAAACATATTTAACAAAGAAGAGAAAGAAAATGTTCTTTGTAGCATGAGTTAAATAGCAAAATCTGAGAATCTACCTAAATATCCAACTATTGGAAATATAGTTCAGCATATTATTACCAGTATGATAGATTATAAAGTTACTTCAGAATGATTAAGACTGTGTGGCCACATGAACTTGCATGCATGCCAGCCACATAAATATAGAAATATGTGTAGATGTGCCATGAGCTAAATTACAAGTAATTGAAAAGTATATGAAGCAACGGCCTCAGGGGTCACTGTCCCATCTAATTGGACAGGAACTTCCTGTAGAACAGCAGCAGCACTCATGCCGGGGCTGATCTAGTGCCTGGGCTGGGCTGGCGGGTGGGGCAGCCCCGGGCCCCTGCTGTCCCAAAACAGCTTCCACACATCACCATCGCCAGGCAGGGTGACCACATTGGCTGGGCCTGGCTCAGGGCTGTCACTCCCTCCCCTCCCCAGACTTCCATACCTTGAATAGGTCATAGAGCTCCTCGAGGTCTTCGAGCAGAAATGAGACCTCTGGGGTGACCACGCGGAGCTGGGGAAAGAAGAAACAACAAAGGAGTAAGCTCTGTCTGCACCTGGAGCAGCAGGAGGGGCTCTCCTGCAGCGTGGGGCACCAGGCGCCCCGTGCCAGTGTCCATCCCTGCGGCAAGCAGCGGTGTCTGCTCCCTGCTGACACCAAGATCCTTCTATGGGAGCTTCTCAGTCGCACACCAGGCCTCCCGACAAAGGTGTAAGTTCTCAGGGAAGCCCAACACTGGCCAGGGCAGCTGGGTAAGAGCTCCTCCTGAATGAGTTCCAGCCAACACTGAGGCCCCGGGTGCCAGGCATCTCCCACATCCTACCTCCTTCGATCCCTCACCACGGCTACTACCCTACTCTACAGCCAGGGATCCTGAGGCCCCCGGTGCTGGTATCCGCCACATCCTACCTCCTTCGATCCCTCACCATGGCTACTACCCTACTCTACAGCTAGGGACCCTGAGGCCCCGGGTGCTGGTATCCCCCACATCCTACCTCCTTCGATCCCACACCACGGCTACCACCCTACTCTACAGTTGGGGACCCTGAGGCCCCGGGTGCTGGTATCCCCCACATCCTACCTCCTTCGATCCCTCACCACAGCTACTACCCTACTCTACAGCCACGGATCCTGAGGCTCAAAGTGGGTAATTTGCTCGCAGTCTGACTAAAACTTCCGCTGTTGCTACACCATGTCACCTCTACTCAGCTTTTAATCCAACGGGGAAAAGCTGCACCCCTTCTTTACTCCTTACCCGAGGAGGAGGAGAAACATCAATGTGGAAGAAACAGCAGTTAGTCACCTCTCACACGTGCCCCGACTGGGGTCGAACCCTTAGCCCAGGTATGTGCCCTGACCAGGAGTCAAACCTGCAACCTTTCGGTGCACGGACGGAGTTCCCACTGCTGAGCTGCCCGCCGGGGCAGGAGAGCTGGCACTCGCATCGGAGACCAGCAGACACGCCACAGGCAGCAGGCGCCACTCACCACGTTCTGCTTCGTGGTGTCCTCGTGGCCCTGGAGAACCCTGATCCTGTGCCGACAGCGCATGCGCTCAATCTGCTCCACAGACTGGTCTCCAAATTTCTGCAGGGAAACAAGGGTCACTCACTCTCAGAAGCCCCTTGTACACGGCACGAGCAGCAGCCCAGAAGCCCCCTGCAGGCCCCCCCCAACAAGCTTCCTCGGGGCGGGGGGGGGACGGGACAGGCCATCACCTCATAGGAGTCCCGGATCAGGTCGGCAATGTCCGTCCCCGGGCAGGGCTCCTGGTCATCAGAGAAAAAGGCGTGGTGGCTGCCAGCTGGGGCTCCAGGGCTGTCCTCATTCTTAATGTGATCTAGAAACCTGAGCAACCAGCAGCAGTAAGGCACAGGCTGACCTCGCCTGGTCACAGGGGCTGAGACGGGTCCCAGTACATTCCCACACTGCTCATCTGTCTCCAGCACGGCAGGAGGGTGAGGCAGCAACTACTCTGCTGGCTTCAGATAAAAGGGGGGACACCCAGGGCCAGATGTGCCGGTCTTGGGCCACGGGGTGTTTCCAGGTCTCTGCGAGTCCAGCGAGGTACACAAAGTCCTGTGCACGCTGCAGCCTTAAGCTTCCACCGTATTCTGAAAGGGAACCTACTCAGCTAACTTGCCCTCAGCTCCGGGTGCCTGCCTGAGGCCCACACTTCCCGGTGCCCGCCCAGCCGCCCCATCCAAGGCCACTAGGAGTCCATCTAGACTCAAGACATGTGACTCTCCTCAGAGAAAAGCACCGACGGCTGTTCTCACCTGGCAGAGAGGGGTGAGGGAAGAGGGCAACGGCGCCACTGGACAGGCCGGCTCTGGGTGACAAACGGCAGGGGGGAGGAACCCCTGCACCGGACAGCCCTCCGGACACCCGCAGCGCTGCCCACCCCACCCCCCGTGGCCGGAGCTGCAGCGAAGCCCACCTGCTGAGGATCATCAGGGCCTGGCCGTCATCTGTGCAGCGGCACAGGTCGGGGGCGCTGGCCTCCAGCACCGCCAGCCCCAGCTGGAACACGGCCTTGATGCCATCATAGAAGAAGCAGTCGACCACGTGCACTGCGCTCTCCAGGGGCATGATGCTGAGGAAGAGCGTCAGGAACCACGAGAGGGACACGGAGGCCAGGGCGGCGGGGTCGCGCAGGTGCTCCGCCAGCTCGGGGAGGTGCTCCCTGACCAGCTCCTCAAACACCGACTGGTCCACCTGGGCCCCTGCGAAGGAAGGCAGGCCGCGTGGTTGGGAGGGGCCCACACGCTCCGGCCAGCCTGAAGCAAAGCTGCTCCGAGGGCAGGGCAGGGCAGGGAGGCAGAGCCTGAGTGCAGCACTCACTCGGTCCACTGACTTCTGACACTGTGACCAAGGAAATTCAATGGCAAAAGGACAGTGTTTTCAAAAAATCACGTTCAGTCAAGTGGGTATCTGTGTGGATATGCATGCGCTCCACGGCACACAGAAAAACGTGAATGTGTCACAGACCTAAATATAAAAGCCTATGCCATAATACTTCTAAAAGAAAATACAGGGAAAGGCAAAATTTCTTAGGACACAAAAAGCACTAATCATAGAAAAAAGTATAAACTGGACTTCATCAACATTAAAAACATGTTCTTCAAAAGTTAGCATTGATAAAATGAAAACGCAAACTTCAAACTCAGAAAGAGGAAATGTATCTGACAGGGGCCTCGTATTCCAAACACAGGGAGAACCCCTGAAGCACAGTAATATGGAGCGAGGAACCAAAAAATTTCCAAATAGGCAAAAGATTTGAGCAGACTCTTCAAAGAAGAGACAAGGCGAAGAACAAAGGGCCAGTAAGAACAAAAGTTTATGTTCAACATTATTAATCACAGAAATGCAAATTAAAAGCACCATGATATACTTCTTACCCACTAGAATAGCAAAAATTAAAAAGACAATTCCGAGTGTTAGTAAGGATGTGGGGCAACCAAAACTCTCACACGTTCCTGACGCAGAGCACGCGACCACATTACATATGCTTTGAAAAACCAACAGTTTCTTATAAAGTTAAACATATAACTAATCTATGACCCAGCAATTCTGCTCCTGGTAAATACTCAAGAAAACGGACAATATGTGGTATTCACACAAAAACTTACACATGAATGCTCACTGCAACTTTACTTAGAATAAACACTGGAAACAACACAGATCAATGTATGAGTGTGCGGTGAACTACTACTCAGCAAGGGAAAGGAACAAACTACTGGCTCACCAACAACATCATGTGCAAAGGAAGCCAGCCACAAAGGAGAACATTCTCTATTGTGGTATGTATGCCAAGTTCAAGAACAGGCCACATTAATCTGTGGTGACAGAAATCAGTGCCAAGAGTTGCCTGTGGCAGGCAAGGGGCACAAGGGAACCGCTACAGCCTGGGGGGGGGGTCGTCACATTGGCGTGCACATGTCCGGGCGGGTGCACTAGTCACGTTGAGGACGAGCTGTCCCAAGCAACACTCGCCAACTGAGAGGGTAACAGGCCTCCCGTGACTCCAGGGCTCCGATTCTTTCGTGCTACTCTGTACAACGTTAAACCACCTCCCACAACATCAAGTGAAAACAGACACGAGCCGTTAACGGGTCAGGTGCATGAAGGAAGCCGGGGGCATGGGCACGGGAATGGGCATGGGCACGGGCACACCAAAAGGCCCCAATAGGCAGGAGGCAGCCACCTCCTTCCAGCCACCCCTCCTTACCCCCAGGGGCATCGCATCCATCAGTCCTCACGCCCTTCTCCCTGCCTTGCCCCTACATCAGTCCTTTGTCAAATTCTGTCTCAGACAGGTTCTTTTCTGTTCCTACTGCTGCCACCAGAATTTGGGGCTCTCTCCATCTCTCATTCTGGATTACTGAAAGGTGCTCTTAAGAGTCTTACCAAAGTAACGTCTGTGTCATTTTCTCCACTAGACAGCTGCTGGACCCGAGACAGTGCAAATTAAAATGCCAACCACACAAAGACAGACACCGAGTGCTTCAGGGCTGAGGGCAGAGGCTTGCCCAGAGCCAAGCAGGGACAATGAGTGCTCTCGCTTCCCACCTATGAGGGGGGCAGCTCCCCACGTCTTCCCTCTAGGTCGGGGAGCACGCTTCCACTCACCTCTCTCCTCTCCTGTCTCCCAGAGCTGCCTGGGTAGCAAGAGGAGATGCCCCTCCCTTCCCAGGCCACATCTTCAGGGAAAAATCTCTCTGGTTTTCACTTTTCAACTTGTTTTCTGAGCCTTGAATTTTTCTTTCCTCCTTGTGAGCTCAGCTATCAAAGTAAAATAATTTGTTTTTTATGCAAAATCTGTGCTTGTAGCAAGAGAGTTATCAGGTTACCTTATTCCACCATTTTGCGAAAACTGTGCAGGGAGCCAGCCAGCGTGGCTCAGCAGTTGAGCGTCGACCTAGGATCCAGGAGATTGCATTTCAATTTGGTCAGGGTACATCCCTGGGTTGTGGGCTCAATCTCCAGTCGGGGGCGTGCAAGAGGCAGCCGATCAATGACTCTCATCATTGATGTTTCTCTCTCTCTCCCCCTCTCCCTTCCTCTCTCTGAAATCAATAAAATTAAAAAAAAAAAAAAAACCTGTGCAGAGAATTACACTGGGTAACTTTGCAAATCCCAGAGCCGAACAGTATTTGCAGAAAGACTGCTGAGCAGCACACAGACTTGAGAACCAGGACTGGTGGAAAGGTCTCTGCCCAGGCTCTTGTCTCCCCGGTGCACCGGAGGGGGCAGGAGGCAACTTACCAAGGACCCGGTGGTTGAAGTAGTCAGGCAGCATCCGCTCGCACACAGCAACCAGCAACCAGAAGGCCTCCTCCTCCTTGGCGTACAGGAGCAGGACGGAGGTCAGGATGTTCATGGACTGCTCGGGGGTTCAGAGGAGGGGACAGTGACTGACCAAACCACATAGGGCCACAGAGACATTAAAAAACACACAAGTTCAAATGACCTACAAAAGCCAAGATCAGGGTACTCTAACCACTCCAACATATGCAGAAGAATGACCACGTGTCATGTCAACATGGTCCTCACAGATACACCCGGCAGAGGGATCGGCCACCCGTTCCGTCACTGTCCCCACCTAGTGATGCTGGACTGAGCTGTGGAGCACACCTCAGGCTCAGATCAAGTCTGTGCATTAATCGCCCAGCTGGCGTAGCTCAGCAGTTGAGCATCCACCTAGGATCCAGGAGATCCCGGTTCAATTCCCAGTCAGGGCACATGCCCAGGTTGTGGGCTCGATCCCCAGTCGGGGGCGTGCAGGAGGCAGCCGATCAATGACTCTCATCACTGAGGTTTCTATCTCTCTCCTCCCTTCCTCTCTCTGAAATCAATAAAGACAATAAAAAAACTGTCCATTTTCTAAGTTCATGTTCAGACACACACACACACTACATGTCATTCCCCCACTGATTTTGCTTATTTACAGAAAACAAAGTTTAAAATCTTGTATTTTGGCGATGGCCTGTGTGGCTCAGTGGTTAGAGCACCAGCCTGTGCACCAGAGGGTCGAGGGTTCGATTCCCGGTCAAGGGAACGTACCTGGGCTGCAGGTCCAATCCCCGCCCTTGGTTGGGGAACGTGTGGGGCAGCCAGTTGATGTCTCTCCCCCGCCCCCTCCCCTCCACTCTCTAAAATCAGTGGGAAATGCCCTCATTCCTCGGAGGAGAATTAAAGATACATGTATCTTATATTCTAAATGTCAGGCGGTCCTGTAACCCAGCCTTGGGGGTTTGCTGGTGTTTGTTCTGACACCAAACCAACCTCCCAAGTCCTCAGAATTGCCTGGAGGACATCTTCCCTCCACCCATGTTTCCCAAGGGAAGATTTCTGCCCCAAACATCTTTTTCCTCCCCAAATAGCACTGTCATTTTAAAACTAATCCCTGTAAGTTCTAGAGCTCTGCCCTGCTGTGGACTCAGTCCGTGAGGCTCTGCTCTTGGGGGCACACAGCACCTGCCCTGCTGTGGACTCAGTCCGTGAGGCTCTGCTCCCGGGGGGCACATGGCACCTGCCCTGCTGTCCACTCAGCCCGTGAGGCTCTGTTCTCGGGGGGCACACGGCACCTGCCCCGCCGTGGACTCAGCCCGTGAGGCTCTGTTCTCGGGGGGCACACGGCACCTGTCCTGCTGTGGACTCAGCCCATGAGGCTCTGCTCCAGGGGGGAACACGGCACCTGCCCCGCTGTCCACTCAGCCCGTGAGGCTCTGCTCCTGGGGGGCACACGGCACCTGCCCCACTGTTCACTCAGCCCGTGAGGCTCTGCTCCAGGGGGGCACACAGCACCTGCCCCGCTGTTCACTCAGCCCGTGAGGCTCTGCCCCCGGGGACACACAGCACCTGCCCCGCCGTGGACTTAGCCCGTGAGGCTCTGTTCTCAGGGGGCACACAGCAGCTGCCCTGCTGTCCACTCAGCCCATGACTCTGCCCAGGCCTGGGAAATGTTTCCAACATCAGGTGAGCAGCCTGTCTGTGTGCACAAAGACGACTTCCTTGGCCTCTTTCGACACATTCTTTAAGGCAAGAGCCCAGCACAGAGCCTTCATACAACCGTCCTTGGTACCAGAGGCCCACCCAGACAACAGGCCCTGAGGCCCTGTGGTCAACAGGATCCTGCGCTCTGTGCACACCTCACCTGGCAGTACCCGATTTTGGGGTTCCGGTGGGCATAGGCCGTCAGGACTCTCCTCAAAGCAGCAATCCCCGTCTCACTCTGGAAGGCGGGGTGCTCAGGTAAGGAACGGTGCAGGTCCCGCTCTATCTCCTCTGTCACCAGGCTGGGTTTCCCCATGGACTCCTCCACCAGGCTACCATAGTAGCCGGGATGCGCAGCAAGATCGGTCACGGCATCTGATGATTTGTAAGTAATTTTTAAGGGGTTGGTTACCAGGATAGCGTCAGCATGGAAGGGCTGTCCTGTCAGAGAACCTCAGAAGGGTCTCGTTACTTGAGGGACATGAAATATGTTGAGACCACATACAACCTAAAGGACTTCATTTCTGCCAAAAACAAAAGAGAACATGGCTTTTCTAAAAATAACCTTATATAAAGGGAAAAGTTCATACTAGAAATACTTGTTAACATGCTCTTCATAAGTTGCATTCCCCAGTAAGAGAAAGTGTATACATGTGTGTAACATATACACATATGCACATATCCTTACACATACATATGCCCACAATTTTCATGCGTTAGTTCAACAAGAAATCACTGGGCACCTCTGTGAGAAGCACAGGAGGTGCCATTACGATGAAGTGATGGTGACACATATGAAAGAGCCGACAGCTGCCACCAGGAAACTGCAGGCTATGCTCACGATGTGCAGGGTGACCAAGCAGAGCTCGCCCAGGGCCAAGCCACTGCCAGGCCTCTGGTGGGCAGGGTAGTGGGGGATGGGCACAGCAGCCCCCCACGCCACCTGGGGGTTGCAGTCACTCACCCACCAGCATCGAGGCCCCTATGGCTGCAGCCAGTGTTCCCTCGGGGGGCTGGCGGCAGATGGCTCCCCGGTACTGCCACCAGCCCCATGCAGGGGCTCCAGGAGAGCAGGGGAGTGGAAAGGGCCCCGTTCTGCCTCTCACTGCTATTCATGTTTTTGGTCCCGAGTGGGTTTAGTGTCATTCCCTCCTCCAGCTGTCCGTCCGCAATGACTGAGCCTCCACCACACCCAACACACAGGCACCACGGCCCCCAGTGCCACAATCAGCACTCACGCTGACAGCTGCCCCGCCCTCAGCGGCACCCCACACGCTGCAGCAGCCTTCCCACCGGCCGAGGAAGCACTGCAGCGCTGAGCGAAGAGGGCCCTTTGTGAACTGACTTGGCAACTGTTTTCTTAACAAAAAGTACGTGTGGGAACAGTCGTTCCTCGGTCTCCAGGGGAGTGGTTCCAGGACCCCATGGATGCTCAAGCTCTGTAAGTGGCATGGGATTTGGGCGTCGCCTCTATCTGCACAGAGGCCACAGCAGGTCACCTGCACCCTGCACTCCCATGGGCTCTGCGTAGTGCTTGGCATGCGGCAGTCCAGTGCTGCTTTTTCAAACTTTCTGGGGTATTTTCCCCCCGAATATTTTTGATGTGTTGGTTGAATCCACAGATGTGAAACCCATGAGTATGGAAAGCTAACTATACATACATATAAAGTATGTTCACTGCCCTGGCTGGTGGCTCGGCTGTTTGGAGCGTCCTCTTGCGCACCGAAAGGTTGTGGGTTCAATTCCTGGTTGGGGTGCATATGGGAGGCAACTGATTGATGTTTCTCTCTCTCCCTCTCTCCCTCCCTCCCTCTCTAAAATAAATAAACCTGTGTCCTCGGCCGAGAATAAATAAATTAATTAATAACACATGTTCATTAAGGATTCCTGAAGACCATAAACCACTTCAGGTGACGAGATTATGAGCAACGCCACTTTCTTTGCTTGCTCTTCTATTATTTTCTTTTCAACTATGAATATAGATTGTTTTTATTAAATATAAAAACACAGAAGACATTTTTAATTTTAAAAGAAAGTGTTGCGATGGTGGTCTTCGGTTGGCAGCCTCAAAAACACGCCTGAGGCAGGGGAAAGAGGGGTGAACAGGTGAGCAGTGGCTGGTGAGGCACCAGTGAGTGCCCGTGAAGGGCACCCCAGGGCGGGTCAGAAACAGGAGGGGGAGGGGCTGTGCTACTTTGGGGGAGAGACAGGGAAAGAGGAGGAGAAATGATGGGGGTGAGAGGCTACCATGAGGGAGAAAAGGGAAAGTGAGCAGTGGGAGGAAGGCACATGCCCGGCCTCAGAGCCTCGCTGCGGCCCTGAGCACAGCAGTCACCTGGGGAAAGCGGCCTCCTCACCTGCCTCTCTTGGCACTGAGGGGAGAGGGCCCCCTCCTGCTCGCAGCCCCGCTCCTCTACCAAGCTGGACAAAACAGCTCATGATCTATGTGGAGACAGACGAATGGCTGCTCAAGAGTCTGGAGAAGTTTGGTCCCAGTCTCGGCCTATCGTTCAGTAGGTGTCCCAAACAACCCCAAACAGAATTGGAGGGAGGGGCTGAGGCCTGAGGCCAAAACCGGCTGTACTTCCCAGAGGAGGAAGAGGGGAGAAGAGCCACTTCGAGGGAGGGGACAGTAGACTAAGTGAGCTCTGAGGAGCCATTTCAGCATCCCTGCAGGTGACCAGCTCACGGAGACTTTCGTTTAGTCTGTTTAAGAAGTTGTGCCCCAGAAAGGCACGTCCCTCCCAGGAGCTGCTTCTTAACAGAATTCTCGGGACCACATAGAGACTCAAAGTCATGGTTAGAGGAGACATCCCGCCAGCCCGATCGCACGTTGACGAGGACACGTCCGAGCTCCCAGCTGTCACAGGAGTTCTGAAGTCGGGGAGGGAATGTCCAGGAAGGAGCTGGGGTAGATAACTGTCACACACATGCTGCCCAACCTCAGTCTCCCCTCCTGCGTCCGCTCCAGAAACCACATTTGGCCTAAAGGCACCAGAACCACTTACCTGAGAAAAGCAGCCAGAGTCTGCCACGTAGAGACTCAGGGATCCCCATGGTGACAAGCTTGCGGATCTTCTCTGTGCGAAACATACACACGGTTCTGCCGTATTCCACAAAGTGGTCGTTCCACAGGCTTATCTTTATCTGCTCTCTGGACTGGAAACAGAAACATCCTTAATGTACAAAGAGCCTGTCCACAATCCACCACAGCTCGTGCACAGTCCACCGCAGAGAGCACCACCTCTGTTAAGGGTGGCAGAGGATTTCGGGATCCTGAACCTCTAGGCACAGAAGACGTTCAGGGGAATAACACAGAGCAGCAGCCCCTCGGGAGCTCAGGGTCCTGTGGGAGCACTTAGGCAGTAAAATGCCATTTCCCTGGCAAACTGGATGGGAAGAAGTTTGTCCCAACACTAAAGTAACACAGAGCAGATGGGAGGGCGAGGTGGGGGTGAGACGCAGGAGAGGAGCTGATCCTGACGCTGACGCGAGCCAGCTGCTGAAACACAGGTCTGCAGAGGGCGGAGGGGAGGAGGGCAGGTAAAGTGCGCCCTGAGCGTCCTGACAGCCAGGAGAAACACTGAAGCCTGAAAAGGTTCCATCGCTCTCGGGGTGAGAAACAAGGAAAACGTGAGGGCTCCAGGCAGTTAACAATCCTTTAAAGTTATCCTGATGGCGGAAAGTTTAGTTCCTCATAAATAAGATGCTTCTATATGCTTTTAATTGCCTCAGTCTCTAGTAATGGGAATTTACACATACATTCAGTATTTTTATGCGTTTAGTCCTCAAGTGAGCATCTCTGTGTGAAGCTGGTAATCGGGCTCAGTGCTGAATGAATCAGCCAACAATGAATTAATTATGCAGCAGCCACAGGGCAACTGGGGCACAGCTGGGGGTGAGGATTTCATGGCCACCCCGCTTCTCATGGTCCCAGCAGAGCTGCCCACCTGCCACGGCACCGGCTCAAAGCACAGCCTCTGCTCCGTTTACCCTCCTGCAAAGACACTTCCCTCACTCTTCCTCCAAAGATAAAAATTATTGAGTAAATGTAACAAAAATGGTTTTGGTTTAATAAAACAAGAACAGAAGACTCTGTCCCAGAAGACAAAGAGCGAGGCTGTGAAAGCGGCACACAGACACCAGGGTGTAAGTGGAGGAAGACCTGCTGGAAAACCCACAAGGACGGCAGCCACAGCTTCCACCGCAGGGGCAGGCGGGGAGAGCACCGACCTCCACTGCCTGACGCATCTGCAGCACGCCCAGAGATGCCCAGGCAGCAGGTATCAGCGAGCCCCTTCCACTCTGGGCCAACGAGGCAAAGAGGGGGCAGCTTGCTGTTCTCAGCTGCCTGACAACCTGCACCACAGCTGCCCTCCTAAATGCCAAGCTCCACAGTGGGTCAGGAAGCTGGAAGCTGTACCCGGGGCAACCCTACGCGTGCCCAGCCAGGCCGAGTGTCACCCACCATGCGCAAGTCAGGGCACTGGCTGCCCGACTGCTGCAAGACGGCGCTCAGGGCCTTGGGGTGCAGCTGTGGGCTCTTCTCTTCGCTTTCCTCACTCTTTTGAGAAGACACCATCTCAAGATCCCCGAACCTGTGTTCACTGTACATGCTTGCTGAGTGAAAGACGTGTGGCGCCTGCAGGGGGAAGTAAAATAAAGAGAAAGTCATGGTTTTAAAACAGGGCAACTTCTGCTTGCCTTTGGAAGTATGAGCACAGCAAACTCAAACACGTCTACTGACGACCTGGAGGAAAAACAGACTGACGTGAGGCCAAATGGACCGGATCCTTGGGAAGGACTGTGCTGCAATGTCCCCCGAGACTGCTCATGCAGCCAGAGGACGCAGCTTCCTCCCAGCTTCTAACCTGTGACTGCAGCACCCCATTATCCCCTCTGACCTGCAGGGAGGGGGGGGCATGCCTATCATTTCCTTTAACCTGCGTGGAGCCCCTCTAACCTGTGGACACCGGGTGTATCAGAGGTGGCACCAGAGTGCCACACAGACCCAACAGCTCTGCACCATGAGGATCATCATTGTGAGCACTCCTTTGGAGACCACTGCCCTAGAGGTGGTGAAAACGGGGTTTTGGTGTGTGGAGTCCTACTGTTTTGAAGAGCCATACCGTGACGTCCTCCTGTGAGGTGCTGTAACGCACGGGGTGGTCAGCGTGCACCTGCTGCAGCCTGCCGAGCAGATGCTCCACCAGGGTGTCTCGGTCCTTGAGCTCGATGAACTGGAAGGCCGTCTTGCTCCGGATGCTGACAATGATGGGGCTGGGCAGCAGGCTCGTGTCCTCCATCTTCTCAATGCTCACCACCTGTGCCAGGAAATTACATACAAAGAGGGGAGGCAGGCATTTAACTACATAGTCAGACACATCCTGACACAGAAGCCAAAACAAGCACCGCAATCAGGAGCTGGTGCCAAGGTCAAGAGTATGCAAGGCAGCTCATCCACAACAGCTAAAAGGCGGGAGCTGCCCACTGTCCCTCAGTGGGCAAGCGGGACAACCAAATGTGGTCTGTACACACACAGTAGTAGTCAGCCTTAAAAAGGACATCTGACACAGGCTTCATGGATGGGCTTCAAGGACATTACGCTAAGTAAAGTAATCCCATCACAAAAGGACAAATGCTGTCTGACTCCACTTACAGGAGGTGCCCAGAGTAGTCAAACTCACAGAGACAGGAAGTAGGACGGCTGTTGCCAGGGGCTGGGGGAGGAAAGGGGGTGAGGAGCAATCACTTAATAGAGACAAGGCTTCAGCTGGGGAAGGTAGAAAAGTTCTGGAGATGTCTGCACAATAACATGAACTACTTAATGCTAAAACGGTAAATGCTGTATGTATATATTATCATAACTTTAAAAAATAAGGAGCCCTGGCCGGTTTGGCTCAGCGGTTAGAGCGTCTGCCTGCGGACTGAAGGGCTCATACCAGGGTTACAGGCTCGATGCCCAGCCCTGGTTGGGGCTCATGTGGGAGGCAACCAATCGACGAGTCTCTCACACTGATGTCTCTCTCCCTCTCTCTTCCACTCTCTCTGAAAAAGCAATGGAAAAAATATCCTCGGATGGGATTAAAAATAAATAAATAAATATTTTAAAATAAGTATATAAGACAATGACTGGATTTCTTGCTCCACTCTTAAGAAAGGATATTTGTGAAACGAAAACTCTGCCACAGAGAAAGGGCATGGAGGTAGGAGATCACACGACTGCAGGAAGCCTGAGCTTCCCCGAAGAGCAGTGCTCAGCGAGTTCACAGCACGAGGACCTGGGTGCTGGTGTGCAGAGCTGTGGGCACCGCCCAGCAGGCGCCCTCAAACCAAAGGCTGAGCCACCAGGTCCAGAAGAACGGAGACTCGAGCTGCTCTCCATTTCCACGAAGAGAATTATGGGCTTTTCCAGGAGGAAGGACTTGGCCCGTATGAAAGAAAGGAAGCGTTTTTAGATTTCTAAGTGAAGTTCCAGGAGGGCATAACAGCCGAGCAAGGTGACGTTTACCTTCAAAGGGGAGGCATTTAGTACGTGGCCTTTTTTCTCCCTTTCTGTGGGTGAAGGGAGGCTTCATGCCTAAAACCTGCCATAAAGCTGTTTTTTTCAGACCTCACCTAAGGAGTGAGGATATTTTTCCACTGATTTCAAAGAGAGTGGAAGGAAGAGAGAGCGAGCTACACTGATGGGCTGCCTCCCGCACGCGCCCTGACTGGGGGCGCAGATCGCGCCTGCAACCAAGGTGCCTGCCCTTGACCAGGAATCTAACCAGCAACCTCAGGTGCACAGGCGGACGCTCTAACCACTGAGCCACGCTGGCCAGGGCTGTCATAAAGCTTTAAACTACAGCTTTATTGATAATGTGGAGGTTAGCGTGCCCTGTTCTCACCAGTCAGTTTTATACAAACTTCAGGTTGCCATAGCAACAGGAAAAGCAACAGCAATTGGGTAGTGGTCAAATTCAGGCCATGCTTCCCTCTAGCTGCCATCCCTAGCGGGCAAGGCCTTGCTGTGAGCACCGGGCCCTGCTATCTCCCAGGGAGGCAGGCCCTCCCCACCTCTCTGAGTGGGAGGATGACATGGCAGCAGCCCTCGTCCCTGCTGGCAAAGCAGATGTAACTGTCGGAGGCGAACATCCGCCCGGCGGTGTGACAGCGGCTGAACGGCGTCCAAAGGGAACAGTCGGCGACCACGTGCAGCTTCTCCTGCCTGGGCAACCTGAAGAAGGCCCGGAAGAACTCCTTCTCTGCTCTGGCATCCAGGTCCCTGGTGAGAATGAGAGAGCACGAGGAGGCAGGAGCGGTGAGGGAGCTCACTCACAAAGGAGAACACTTGTAAACCCCCTGGCACAACCTGATACTGAAGTGAACACAAAACGGAGCTGGGCTGCCCAGCTCCTGCACAGTCAGCAGCCACTCTCACGCACAGCCCACCGCGGGAACGACGGGCTGGGTGGACTGCCGCTGACCGAGGTGACGTGACAAATTCAGGGACCAAAACACATATCCCTCCTCAGTCTGCGTAACATTGGGAACCATCATAGAACAACTGTGTAAGACTCCAGTGCCAGAAAGTCAGACAACAAGAGCTGGTGAGGATGTGGAGACACTGCTGGGGGAGAGTGGGCAGTGCAGCCACTTTGGAAAAACGCCTGGCTACTCCTCGAAAGGTGAAACATGGAGTGACCACGTGACCCAACAACTGCACTTATACTGAACTGAACACGTATGTCCACTCGGGAACATACACACACATGTTCATAGCAGCATCATTCATTGCAGCCAAACACTGGAAACCACCCGAATGACAGATGAGTAAACAAAATGTAGTCCATCCATACAACAGAATATTATTCAGCTGTAAAAAGGAACGAGGTTCTGACACCTGCCACCACAGGAAGGAACCCTGAAAACATTATCCTAAGTTCAATAACCCAGACACGAAACACTGCATATTGCCTGATTCCATTTATATGAAATTTCAGAATAAGCAAATCTAAAAAGGCAGAAAATAGATTGTGACTGCTTAGGGCTGGGGGAGGGAGAAACAGGAGACTGCACATGGGTGCGAGGTTTTGCCTTGGACTGAGGACAGTGTTCTAAACAGATCACAGTGAGGACTGCACAACCCTGTGAATGTACTAAAACCACTAAATGGTACATTTTATGGGGTGAACTAGGCGCTTCCCCTCCAGGGAGCATGCCCGTGCCATTCCTTTCCGCTCTCCTTCCCCTACAGGCCTGCATCTCCTAAACTCCAAGGTACCCCACGGGACTAGCAACCAGGGGAGCAATGAGCAGCGGCAACTAGTCGGGGCTTATCCCTGAACCTGTCTCAGGGCCCCTTCTCTCTGACTTCCCAGTGAGCCCGAGCAGCCCAGCCAGGCTCTCCGCTGCCTCTCCTATGCTCCTCCTTGTCTCACTGCCCTGTGTGTTCTAGGTGCAGCCAGTAAATTCTTGCTTGCTTTTATAAAAAAATAAATAGTAAAAGGGTGAGTTGAGCGGTTTCTGAGCGGTACGTGATCTCAGGGCTGGAAGCCTTGGCAGAAGCGCCCCCTAAGGCTGGAAACGGGCCAGCAGCACACAACACTGACTGCCCACCGTCCACACTGTTGGTGCAGCTGCCCCAGCTCCCGCTGAGCACAGCAGGGGAAGGGGCCGCAGACCCTTCTGCATCAAGGGGCCAGAACAAACACACGGGGTCCCCAGAACCCGGAGCAATAGCCATCGAGTGTGCTGGTGAGCCAAAGTCAATATGTATAATCATGCGTGACAGCTCTGCAGAAAATTCTAGACTACACGCACACATTTTAAAATTCAGGTTTAACTCCTAAGACCACAGACCCCAACATCAAGGGGTAGGTACTTCTCTTATTTCTCCGTGAACCCAGAGCTCCCCATTTCAGATTAGGTGAAGATGTAGCAAAAGCAGGCTTCCCTCGCTCTTCCCCAGAGGTTTCAGAACGCTCTGGGACAGAGCTGTGTTAGGCTCACACACCAGCTCTCACTCCCCCATGTCCTTCACTCCACAAACCTACTATGTGTCAGAGGCTTAAAGCTGCTTCGAGGCCAGAAGCTTCCCCAAGGTCAGCCATGTGGCAGGCTGGTGCAGGCGGGCTCTCCCCGGCTCAGGGTGCAAGGACCTTGCTCTGTGCTGGACAGAAAGCCTCGAGCCATACTCCTGCCCCTGGAATAACTCCACCCTCCACAGCCAGTTTGCCTCATCAAGAAAGACACCAAGATTTCCACAGGCTCCCGTGAGGTGCCCACCCACAGACCCAGGCCCAATGCAGTGACACCCTGGGGACATCAAGAACCGGCCCCCTTCACACTGGGCAGGAAGGGTAGGGGTGCTTTTCCTAAGCCCGAGTCTGCGCATAAAACACTGCATTTCTCAACTGTGTGTTTACTCAAAACATCTTTCCTCTACAATCCCCTGGGAGCTCCACGGACAGGGAAGAACAAAGCTGCTGGTGAAGCCTCAGGGAGCACGGCAGAGAGGCAGCTGCAGACGGCGGGACGCGCGGCCCACTCCGAGATGGCAGGCCGCGGTGCCCGGTGCCCCGCTGCCCGTGAAAACCCATCCCGAGCCCCGACAGGCCAGGACCTCAGTAATGGGGCATCAGAAAGCACTTTCCCACCACAGAAAAGGCTCCTGCCTTCATCATCTGCTCGCCACTTTGTCCCAGAGAATACCTATGACCACAGAGCTTCCAGGTGGCCGCAGCGGGGAGAGCTCCCCTGAAGGGGGCTGTTCAGGCCTGTAGGAGCCCCAGTGGATGTCTCGACTGCTCCAAGCAGACTCTGCGCCAGGATCAGGACACAGTGAAACACACTGCCCACAGCGAGCTTGGGCTTTCCCAGCGGGGCCCAGGGGAACAGCAGGGACGGTGAAGCTGGGCGGGGGAGGCTGAGGATGGTCTGAAAAGCCACAGGGGAGTTAAGTGTGAGCCAGGCAACAGGGGGGTGGGGGATGACTGCTAAGGACACCAGCCCCTTGGCAACCACTGTCCACCTTTAGGTACCAGTAGGAACAGCTGGCTTACATCGTGAATAAGAGTTTCCACCCACTACCCTGTGGGGATTGAGTTTTCCTCCAGCATTTTCACCCATCCAAACAGATTTTAATAAAATATTATTTAATTTCCACTTAGTGATGCCCAATATCACCTCTCCAATATCCCCCACAAAAAGCTAGCTGGTTACACTGTTCTCACCCCATCATTCACAACTTCAGAATTGATATTTTCTGTTTGAAAATTTCAGGACCAATCCATTTATTCCCTCCCTCCTTCCATTCTCTCTGGGAGTCCCCTGCCCTCCTGGACTCTCGGGGACTACACACTGGAGCACCCCTGGCCAGGCCCTCCACTGTGAAGCACCTGTCCTCCTGATCCTGGGTGACAGCGCACCGTCCCACCCACCCCACTCCGCTCCGCGGACGCAAGCCTTGCCCCGCTGAGCCCGTTAAGTCCCTCAGCAGCAAGCACAGCAGCCATCAGGACAAGTCCACAACCACAGGCTCATGACCCCACAGGCACCTTTCCAAAGCCATTATCTGGGAAGGGAAGTGGAAATACATCCACAAGAGAGCCTGGGGACCCTCCCAACACCCTAACCAGGCCCTTGGCACGAGACTGTTCTCCTAAACTTGAAACCTGGGTTCTCTTGGCAGGATGTCAAGTTAACTGAGTCATTACCTGTTTATGTCCCCAGGCCCAGGTCTCCGGGACCGAAAGCTGCACATGAGAACTGGAGGGGAACTGGTAGGCAGTAGCACGCCCTTCCCTTTTGGAGAAAGTCAAAGTGCAGTGCGCAGTGAAACATGCCTGCACCCCAGCTCTGCTGCGTGTCTGGGGCGAGCCCCAGGCACCGTCAGCCCGCGGGCAGCTTCACCGCCAGCCCCACCGGGACCCTTTTCTCTCTCCCCTACTTTGTTTTTTCACTGTTTCAAATTCTTCATTATACATCATGGTCATACAATTTGAGGCTAGTTAAATACAATTGGTTTTCAAATTTTCTTTGAATATTTTCTAGATTACTACCTGCAAATGACCATCAAAATATTTGGAATTTTTAAATTTTGAACGTCTGAGCAGGCACTTACATGAGAAAACAGCACCATTACAGATTCCACACTTAACACACACTCCAGCTCACGGTCCACAGAGCCTCTTGCTAGTAAAGAAGTTGGTTACTGGCCATTTTATCAAAGTGCCGTAGAAGTAAAACAAGTTTCAAGAAATATAATTTGGGTTAGTTACCTTACTCATAAGTTAGGTCAAATGACAAGACTTGCCCTGAAGTCTGAGAAATATTGGCACAAAAACCAGTGAACTGTGTAAGTGGCAGCAGCTTCCACACCAGGCTGCTGTTTTAGCCCCTACTCCCCAGAGGGCATTCGAGGGACGTGGCTGTAGCCTTCTTTCTTACAGACTTTGAACAACTGACTTGACTTCAGTGTTAAAAATAAAATTAAACAGCGTGGGTGAAATTTAAAATTGAGTTTGAAAGAGCCAAAGTTCCAATTTAACAAACATGAGATTGTCCAGCTCTGGACAGCTACATGCTTATTAAGAGGTGCACCCAAATCCCCCCTCCTCAAATTCTCTCCTGAAAGGGGAAGAGAGTATTTGTGAAGTCAAGAAAATTATATTTGTGTGTATGTGGTAAAAAGATTCCTTAAATTTAAAAAATTCAAAGTATTCATGAAGAAATTGTAAAGTTTTAACACATTCTAAAATGCCAACACGGAGTCAACTCCGCGTTGCAGAACACGGCCATGGACCCACTGGGTACTAGTAGCAAAAGGGTTACTTGACATGACAAAAAATAAATGTAACAGGCTGCAAGGACACGCTACACAGTCCCTTGGGGAAGAATTTAACATTCTTACGACAGAAGACTTCAAAGAGAATAAAACTGAGGGAGCCAGGGGATGGGGGGCCAGGAGCACCTGCAGGGAAGCCTCCACATGCGTGTCCCAAACACTGTGTGACAGACGCAGTCCGGAAAGTGCGCTCCCCGCGTTGAACCCTGCAGGGCGTGAGGGCCACTCAGGGTTTCAGGTTTCATTTGAACACTAATATTTAGTTTCCCATGTAGGGAATGAGAGGTGATCGTTAGCATAAAAAAGGAGACTAAATGGATTTATAACCAACATTATACAGGAAACAAGCGAAAGTGCGAATACAAGCCCACTCGTGAAATCTTCACTGTCCACACACACAAGCGAGGCGAGCAGTAAGAGGCAGAGGAAGGACGCCCCGGGGCCCAGACGCCAGGTGCTTTAGCGTGGGCACAGGAAGGATGCTTAGTTCCAGCACCGTGACAGAAGGAAGACACCGTCAGGGGGCCCTGGGCACCCCCACGCACCGCCACCATCTCTAGAGGACGGGCCCACTGAGAACGGGCTGTCCCCTCTCCCTGCAGGAGGCACCCACCCGCTGAAAGCCTCCCACGGGAGCCCGTGACGTGGCAGCGCCGGCCCTTCCCACCCAGCCGTCGCTTCTGGTCCCCGGTGGCCCTCGGCCTAGTCCCAGGGCCTCTCTTGTGATCAGCTCTAACTTCCTATGTCGAACTTTTATTCTTACTAATAAGAAGTAAATTTTTCCAACAATCACACCCTTTAAACGACACTTTGATTTACTATATTCAAATTTTATGTGCAGACAGTTCAATGCCCACTTGTATCTTTACAGCTCGGTTAACAGCAGGGTGGGCAGTGACCTGCTGAGCAGGATCCCATTCTTTACCAGGTCCTCCTCCTGTCACTTTAAGAAAATACCTCAGGCCCGGCCAGCGTGGCTCAGCGGTTGAGCGTCGACCTAGGATCCAGGAGATCAGGGTTCGACTCCTGGTCAGGGCACGTGCCCGGGGTGCGGGCTTGATCCCCAGTCGGGAGGCAGCCGATCAGTGGCTCTCTCATTGATGTTTCTCTCTCTCTCTCCCTCTCCCTTCCTTTCTCTAAAATCAATTAAAAAAAAATACACACACACACACATATGTGCAGGTATATATATACATATACATACATATATATATAAAGAAAATACCTCAAGCGGACACTGACGTGGACGTAAGATTCATATGGCTTTTCAACTTGCATAAATTCAAAATCTTAACTTTTGCTCTGGGTAAAGCTAGTTCTTTCACTATGTGTGCAAATTCGTGTTATTCTTGTCACTGAGAAGTCCAATTTGACCTACCAACTCAATTCTAATTCCTAGGTGCGTCAGCCTCTTTCCAGTTGCTTAAAGGCTAGGCTTACCCTTCCTTAAACAGATTTTCCATCATAGAAAAGACAGTATTTTCTACCTTGCCATTTTCAGTTTTCATTTCCGCCATTTTCCTGGTTTCCCCATCATTAAGGACAACCTCGATGTCACAAATGGGACCAAAATGCTGCCAAGAACACTCACGGTCAGTGCCAACACATCCCCCCCCATTCTGTAAGCAGGAGCCCTCCCCTGCTTCCTAACAGTTCCCAGGGTAGGAGGCTGGGGACGGCCCAGTAGAAGTCACCTGATTCTGAAAACTGCCAACACTGATGAATTTTCTTCCAAATGGATGATTTTACCAAAAGGGTCTTAAATGCTACAGGCCTTTGATCTTCCTGCTCTTTCCTCATGAAAACTCTACACACTGCTGTTCTGAGACCACTAGTTAGAAAGAAACTTTCCCCTAAATGTTCAGAGAAGACAATACATGTGTGTAAGCAATAATAGGAATGTTAAAATAAATGAATAATAAAACTTTTCTTCTTACTGATTCTACAGAGAGAGAGACAGACAGACACACTGATGTGAGAAACATCGAGCAGTTGCCTCCCATATGCACCACAATCAGGGATTGAACCCGCAACCTAGGCATGTGCCCCAATCAGGAATCACACCGGCAACCTTCCTGTACATGGTACCACGCTCCAACCAACTGAGCCACACCGGCCAGGGCAAAAAAAATTTTAATGACTAGTGGTTTCTAAGAAATGAAGCACAGAATCACATCTGATTCAGCAGTTCTGCTTCCGGGCGTACATCCAAAGAACTGAAAGCAGGGTCCTGAGAGATATGTACCCTCACATTCACAGCAGCATCACTCACACAGCCAGGAGGTAGAAGGAACTTACAACAGCCAGGGATGGACGAATGGGTAGCAAAAGGTGGTCTGTACATGCAATGAAATGCTTACTCGTAAAAGGAAGGAAATTCTGACACTTGCCACAAGAAGGATGAACCTTTGGGGACATTATGCTGAGTGAAATAAGCCAGTCACAAAGGTCAAACACTGCATGATTCCACTTATATGAAGTCCCCAGAGTAGTCAAATTCATACCAATGAAAGCAGAATGGCAGCTGCAGGAGCTGGGGAAGGAGGGAAGGGGGGTTGCTACTCAACAGGGACAGATTTCAGTCTGCAAGGTGAAGAGAGTCCTAGGGATGGACTGTGGCGAAGGTTGTGCAACAACAGGAATGCAGTTAATACCACTGAACAGCACATTTAAAAATGGTCAACACAGTAAATTTTATGTTAAATGTCTTTCACCACAATAAAAAAAAAAAAATTTTTAATGACCACTAACATTCAAATAGCATTGGTGACTCTGTACCCAAACAGGACAGCGCTGTACGGGCTAACTTGTTCTCCGGAGGACCCGGGTCCTAGCTAACCTGTGTCAGCTCTGCAGCTGCCCAGTCAAACCACAAAGCCAAAATCACAGCTGAGCTCGGACACCACGGCTTCAATATTAGATACTGAAGTTGAACTTCTTTAATGTGACAAATACCTCAAGCAACCACCTCACAAGTCTCCATGACTAGTATCAACTTGGGGCAAACAAATAATAGTGTTAACTGACACTCTTAGTAAGCATGTCTATGATGATGATTTGGTACCAAAATAAGCCCAGCTGTGCCGAAAATGTTTCCTATAATATGAAAACACAAATGTTCTTAATGTTTACTAATAAAGCCCAATGCTGAATGGAATTCCATCATGAGGCTACCGTATTACATTTTCTAGAAGTATTTTTTTATGAAAATCAATTTTGAAATAACACCTGAAAAAAGAAGGAACTGAACCCAGAAATCAAAGTCTATGGCATAAAGGAAATGAATAGTATTTGTTGCCAATTACTGTATCTCTGCCATGAACAACAACACAGGAGAATCTGGATTCTGCCACGAGGGAAATTTAAATCTAGTATAACTCAGGCTAACAACGCCCCACCAACGAGGGGGAAATTCGTATTATTCTTGTCATTGAGAAGTTCAATTTGACCTACCAACTCAATTCTAATTCCTTGGTGCTCTGGGCTCTTTCCAGTTGCTTAAAGGCTAGGCTTACCTTTCCTTAAACAGATTTTCCATCATAGAAAAGACAGTATTTTCTACCTTGCCATTTTCAGTTTTCATTTCGGCCATTTTCCTGGTTTCCCCATCATCAAGGACAACCTCGATGTCACAAATGGGACCAAAATGCTGCCAAGAACACTCTTGGTCAAGGCCAACACACACACACACACACACACCCCCGTACACAGGAGCCCTCCCCTGCCTCCTAACAGTCCCCAGGGTAGGAGGCTGGCCCATGGGGAGGGGCGCCTGGCCCGAGCTCTGACCTCTTGGTGATCTGGCTGGGCTCCCGCAGGTCTGGGTCCAGGTCGAAGCCCTCGTTATCCAGCAGCCTGCGCAGCGTCACGTCGGCCAGCTGCTCCATGACCTTGAACACCTCCTCGAGGTTCAGGAACATGGAGAAGTCCCGCTCCTTACTCTGCGTGGTGACTCGGATCGTCGCCGTCAGAAAGACGTTGGATGTTTTTTCTAACTTCTGGATATCAACCCAAGGGATTACAAGTTTAACTGAAGGAAAGGAGAGCAAATACATATTTTACTCCAAAATTTACCCCAAACTTGTGCGCGTCATCAGCCGTCCAAGGCTTTCCTTACACTAAAACGCAAACCTTTGAAACCAGAGCAGGAAAGAGCAAGCCCCAAACTGCTTGGCAGCCATATGCTGGAGCCCAGCTCCTGTCCTAGAGATTTTCTTGAAGGTTTAAGTGAAACTTCCCAGGTTGCTGGCTACTGCATACGAATAAGGAACATCATTCTGAAATACCAAGTTAACGTCGCGGAAATTTTCTCAAAAGTAGTTAAACTTAAATTTTCGCAAAATATGCAGAAATTTTTCAATCCACATAAATGCTGGTTTCAAGAGCAGTCATTGCATAAGCTATGAAAAAGAAGTGCACAGGAGATTATTCACGATCTCATACAGGGGAATGGGCTTAACATTCAGACTGGGTCATGTGACAGCTGTCAGAGTCGCAGAGTGCAAGCAGTTCTTCTGGAGCTCTTTTTAAAGGAACGCAGGACAAAGTTCCCTTATGAACAATGTTCTAGCCTCAGAAAGGTTTCCAGTACAGCTGGCGAGGGTGCCACTGCAGAGCACAGGAGACACACAGACAGCAACTTAAACTGATAAATGTTCTCAAATATGGGGAATCACTTATTTTTCCCAAGTTTTATTACCCTAACAAAATTAGGCTTAGTGACAATGACTAGTAAGTAACTGGAAGATAACTCATTTCCCTTTTGAAATAAAGGAGGGGCCATGAAGTGTTTTCCTTCCTACCATGTCTTTCCATTTATTTCACAATAATGTCTTCAATGCATTAACTTTATTTATTTATTTACTTTAATCCTCACCTGAGGACATTTTTTCCATTGCTGTTCAGAGAGAAAGAGTGGAAAAGAGAGAGAGAGCCTGCAACCGAGGCACGTGCCCTTGGCTAGAATCGAACCCAGGACCCCTCAGTTCCACAGGCTAACACTCTAACCCGAGTGAAACCGGACAGGGCTAATGTGTTAATTTAAAAGGCTGCATTTCTACATTAGGCTAGAGCCCCAAATTTCAACCTTTTTCATCTCATGGCACACAAACTAATTACTAAAATTCTGTGGCACACCCAAAAATATATCAAATATTTTGCCAATCTGACCCCACAAATAGGCATAATTTTGATCCATTCACACTGGGCGGCTACTGTTGGCTGTCGTCATTTTTTAATTTGACCATCTCAGGGAAAAGAGGCCAGGGCCCTGACGAATGGTCAGGTGTCACAAGCTTTCAAGATTCTTGCAGCACAGTGACCGGAAATCACTGGGCTAGAGAATAAGCTTCTTCACAAAGCTACTTTTTCTAGTTCTTTCACATAAAGTCCTTCACACACACACACACACACACACACACATTCACACACACACACACTCCCACACATACACATACACACACACTCTCACTCTCCTTCTACACCATCAATTTTCATCCATTAAGCATGTACTTTGTGAAAAGCCCTGCCCTTCGGGAGCTTGTTCAAGTAGGGAAAACACACATGAAAACAAAAAAGGCACCAGCGACTTAGCAGGACCCAAAACAGAATCACAAACATGGTTCCAGTGACAAGGGGAAGGCCCCCAGAGGTGATAAAATCTGAACTGAATTCTAAGGATGAAGAGGCGTTTCCAGACAGACATAAGAATGGGAAAGCAGAGGAAAGACGGGGTGCTAATTCTGAGAAGCATTCAGAAGGTAGATGAGCAGGGATGGCCAAGGGTAGGTGGGAACACACTGCAGCTGGAGTGGGGGGGCGGTGCCAGCGGCGTACAAGCCCCAGCATCAGCCCGAGGCTGGCGGCCTGGGAGGAGGGAAGGGCGACCTGCAGGACGCCGGCCGGGGCGAGTTCAAGTGGAGCCCCTCCCTCGGGCTCAAGTTGAAACGTAAACTGAAATGCAGGAATAAAAAGAAAATATTTGTGTGTGTAGTTACGTATGAACACAACACCCACACCATCCTGAGTGGGCACTTGAAGCAATATTTGGTTCCAAAGGAAGTCTCACTGAGAACATCTTTTTAAAAATTCAAATACCATTGGCACTACGGCTCTTCCTCTTCACCCGGGACTCCAGGGTCTCACCCGGTAGCTCAGTGGAGATGGGGTGAAACGTGAACCACTGCCTGACTCTCGGGGCCCCGGTGAAGGGTCGCCTCCTAGAAACAACTGTCCGCCCAGCTCCTTTCCCAAGAGCAGCCATGACGCGCAGAGCTGGGAGTTTCTGAAACAGCCCATGTTAAGCAGCAGCAATGTGTTCCGCTCCTTTATTGAGAACTACTGGGCCGTCAGTTATAACAGTTTTCAAAGCAATATATAGTAGTAAAATCCCTTCAGTAGCTATGTGAAGTGGACTACACAGAAATGTTTCTTAAGGCAGTAGAAAAAATGAACTCTCACAAAATCAAATCCCCTTAGTGGTAGTTGTATATATAATTAAATATAATTTTCTCCAGAAGTTATTTAGAAATTAATCAAATATCACCTGTTATCATCATCTCATTACTTACTGAAATCTTCTATGGTCTAACTCCTCTTATCAAAGACTTATCTCAGGACCAATGCTAAGCACCCCAAGGCCATCGGCTCTGTGAAGGACCGAACCCCCGGGCCGGCGCGGCGTCGGCTCACTTACGCTCCTTGCCCAGGAAGAAGGAGTAGAAGCAGAGGTGGTTGACGCTGAGGTACAGCCAGCCCTGGCGAGGGACCCTGCCCTTCCAGCAGCAGCAGGAGTAATAGGTGATCAGCTTCTCTGCCTCGGGGAAGTTGAACCTGGCCTCAAACTTGACCAAGGCCTCTCGGAACTTCTCCGGCTCCTCTTCCTGCTCCGCAAGCCGACTGCTGGTCTCCTCCGCAATCAGAGCCTGACACACACAAAGACAGCAGCCCTGGTTCAGGGGGAGGGCCGGGTGGCAGGGACGGACGTGGGAAGGAGTCTTCCCTGCTCAGCAGACAGCAGGATTGTAAGAACGGCTCACCGAATGTCGCCCACCACCCAGAAACACAGCACAGGGAAAGACACAGGCTGGGGGCGGAGACCTAAGAACAGGTCTCCCACTGGCACCTCCAGCCGTGAGGCTTGGGCGAATCACTGACTGCTAACTCTGGTTCTCAAACAAATGACTATTTTATGACACCTGCCTGCCCGTCCCTGCAGGGACATGAAGATCCAACGGTTAGCATGTGAGCTCAGTGCAGCAACACTAAGGAACCACCCATGTTGGAGTTAAAAGTTAGTCTTTAAAACAAAACAAAGAAACTGACAAGTCATCTTCCACATTAGGTTCCAAACTTTCGTATAACGCTAACAACGCATAACTGTGTGATACTTCATACATGTGACTCTTGCTATATATTCCAGTCTTCCCAAGTAGGAAAGGGGCCCACTGGTGGAGGTTTCTGAGGTTCTAAATATTTCCAAAGCAGTTGGAGACAGCTTCACACTCAGACCAGCCAGAGACAGAACTGAGAGATCCGCACAACAAACCACACTGAGAGAGCCCCTGCCTCCCGTGAGTTCCCACCGTGTATCTACCTTCTGACAGCCTGCCACCCCAGAAGCCTAAATTCCTTTTCCATCGTCTTGTCCCCTCTACAAATATACTGTTGTTAAGATGCTATACAACGGCCGGCGGGGCTCAGCGGTTGAACGTGGCCCTGGGATCCAGGCGATCGGGATTCGATTCCCGGTCAGGGCGCATGCCTGGGTTGCGGGCTCGATCATTGATGTTTCTATCTCTCTCTCTCTCTCCCCCTCTCCTTTCCTCTCTCTGAAATCAATAGAGATATGTTTAAAAAAAAAACAAAAAAAAAAGATGCCATACAAGCCCCAAGTTCTAACCACCCCTCTGACTTACTCATCGCTGAGCCTTTCCCGTGTGTTTGCCCGATGCATGTGTTAATAAACTGTTTTTCTCTTGTTAATCTGACTTCGGTCAGTTTAATTTCCAGGGCTGCAGCCCCAGACCCTAGGTTTTCTCTTCCCCTACCGAAGCGCTCCTAAAGCCACGGTACCAGAAATTAGCATCCTTCCTCCAAACTAAGAAGAGAAACACCTAAATCAAAAAACCACCACAACTCATGTTAGACCAAGAAAAGGGGGGACAGTGTGAAAAACAACTGCAAAACAGGCGTTTCTGTAGCTAAGCTCCACTGCGACCCCCACCCAGGGAACCCTGTCACAGAAAGTCAGCCCAGGTGAGGGGGAGCCCAAACGCTAAACACACCCCACCCAGCCTCTCACCCCATAACCCAACAGGCCAGAGGCAATACCAAGAGGGCACCAGTCAACACAGTCGCACCCTGACTGGATTCAGGAGGCTGTTTTCCATCTGATCCCACAAGTACCCCAACCCCCAAAGGGAAAGGATGATTCTGTATTGACGCTGTAACACCAAGAATTCATGTTGACTCCCTTACTGAAGCCTAAGCACTAAGTACTGAAAAGGAAAACTCTTGAAGAAAAAACAACCCAACAGTCATTGGTCTGGAATGTTCTACCCTAAAGGGGGGAAACTGTACGACAGGCTACTGTCTGCAAGTGCTTAAGAAGAGAGTTAAATTTTGAATAGGAAACAGCATTTTCCTGCCTCATCAGGTTATTAAAACAATGGCTACTGATCACGTTACTGCAATGAGACCAGTTATGTGAGATGTAATTCACAGGAGATATCAGCAGATACTTCCCAAAACAGTCTCCTCTTGCCAGCTCAAAACTTAACTAGCTTTAGTTCCATTCAATTAACATATTTTAAGAGAAAATACTTTCAGGAGGAGGACAGTGCTAGGTCCAATGAAACAAAGAGTCACAAGATGTCACAACTGCCAAAAAGTTGGGAATAACTAATTTAAAAAGTCAAATAAGCCCAGCCGGCATGGCTCAGCAGCTGAGCATCGACCTAGGATCCAGGAGATTCCGGCTCTATTCCTGGCCAGGGCACATGTTCGAGCCCCAGCAGGGGGCGTGCAGGAGGCAGCCGATCAGTGACTCTCATCACTGAGGTTTCTCTCTCTCTCCTCCCTTCCTCTCTCTGAAATTAATAAAGACATGTTTTCTTTACAAAAAAGTCAAATAACATTCTGCAAAAAAAGCTTAATATTTTTTTCCCTAAGACAAAAAATGACCTTCACTTCTATATAGGATAAAAAACTCAGCCTGAGAATAAGGTCTTTTTTACATTTCAGCTGTACAGGTAACAAGTGGAACTCATTTGGTTCTGTGTATTAAGCCAAGAAGTTCAATTACAGGGGAGAAAACTCTTCGAATAGAATTGAAAATGCATGTGTTCAAAATGTCATAGGGAAGTTAAAAGAAAGATGAGACAATGGGGAGAAACACTGCAATCGACACACCTACCTTTACCTTCCCTTTGACAAAACTGGCGATGTCCTCTTTGTTGTCAAAGACAGACAAGGTGTGGAGGAGGTTCTGCTCCAGCCAGTCCCAGTGCTGGCTTATCTCCTCCAGCGTCGCACCTGGGTGGTAGCAAAAAAAGAGACCGGGATTAAACGACAAAAGTAAACCCCAGAACATGGGTTCATTCTCCAAATGTCATGAATCTTGTGTTTACGGCCTTATGACATCCTGGTTTCCCACATCCTGGACTGCAGTTTGCCAGCTGACAAGGAAGTGGCCCTCTGGAGCCCGCCCTCCCCACCTCCACACGGGATTTGTGACCCCTGTCCCAGGGCTGCCGTCGGGTTACCCAGCTCTGCTCTGTGGACATCCTGCCTCCCCGACACGGGGAATTCCCACAGCCTCCACACAAATGACAAAAATACTTGTAATTATGCTGCTATTCCAAGTGACACAAGCCCCAAGCAGCACACGGCTCTCAGTGGCTCACAGTTTCTTTCCCCATTAAGAATGAGGGGCCTCAGGGGGAGCCTCAGCCCAGGTCACAGGGAAGAGCCTCTCGAGCAGGCTCTGCTGGCTGCCCAGGGGCACTGCCCCTTGCAACAGGCCTGGTTGAACACAACTTCCAGGTTTATACATTCGTACTCCTTACCTCTTACAATATCCCTTAAAAACATGTATAAAAAGAGGCTTCACAGTACATGTTAAACCAAAAACATTGCCCGGCCGGGCGTGGCTCAGCTGTTGAGGGTCGACCTAGGATCCAGGCGATCGGGGTTTGATTCCCGGTCAGGGCTCATGCCTGGGTTGCGGGCTCGATGAATGACTCTCTCATCATTGATGTTTCTCTCTCTCTCTCTCCCTCTCCTTTCCTCTCTCTGAAATCAATAAAGAGATATTTTAAAAAAAAACAAACCATTAAAGTGTATATAGTAAGTTAATTTCTTTCAAAGGCAGCAACAAGATCACCCTATTTTTCAAGCATTACACAACACTGAGTGGTTTGAGTTGTCTGTGCTCCCTCTCAAGGACCCGCCTCATCCTCTCCACTGGACCGTGGGCACCTGGGCACCAGGGCTGTGCCAGCAACCGGTGAAGCCCGGCATGTAGCACATGCTCAGCAAAGTCCACGGACTTGCAGCAGCATCGTCCTGGACCAGAAAAGGCTTGTGTGCATCAAATATATCTAGTACAGAAACAGACCAACGAACGGAGCCAGAGTTCTACAACTGGAAGCAGGAGATGCTCTAACTTCAAAGGAGTGATGGGCTACCAGACACACCACAGCCCACAAGCATCTCACCAGTGCGAGAGGCCCAGCGCCATGGGCCACCCACCACCAACACCACAGCCAGACACTCGTCTAACACCGAGGTGTGGTTGGCAACTTTCTTCTCTCCAGAGTATAAACGCATGTGCAGATCTTATCAATACCCCACTCATAAAAAGGCCACAAAACTCACTCTGCACTTGTGGATTTGGGTCCAGGGGTAGGAGGGATATCTGTGTCAGGACTGTTGCAAATGGGCAGTTCAGGAAGGAGGAAACAACAGAATCTGAGGATACTTCATAAGGAAATGGGAGAGTTTAAAACAGTGGTGTTTGTTTCCTTGCACTCTCCCAAGACCTAGGCATGGCCTTGCCAAAGCCATGTCCTCAGGTCATCGCTAAAGGCAGACTTCTTGGCCGTCGGGGCAGCCGTCGTTCTCAGGTTCAGGACTCCCAGGCCTGTCCCTGGAACACCTGGTCAGTGTCTTAGCTGGGGCTGCTATAACAAGACACCACAGGCTGAGTGTCCTTAACAACAGGCTGTTTCTCACAGTTCTGAAGGCGAGGACTCTGAAGCTGAGGTACTGGCAGACCTGGTTCCTGGTGAGGCCCCTCCCTGGCTTGTAGACAGCTGCTTTCTCACTGTGTCCTCACGTGGCAGAGAGAAAGAAGGCTCTCTGGCTCTCCTCCTACGACTTCATCTAAACCTAATGCCTTCCAAAGTTCTCAGCTCCAAATACCATCACGTGGGGGTAGGGCTTCAACATTTGAATTTTTTGAGGGTCATAATTCAGCCCCTAACAACTGGTGACTCTACTCAACTATCCGTCAATCCACCTCCCTTGTTTTGCTGTTTAAAGATCAACGAACCCAGGGAACAGCCCACTTGAGGTCTGGGAGAGCCAGCTTCTTGGTGGGCAGTTAGATGTGAGCAGAGCAAGGAAGATGAGGCAGGTACAGAAGGTCACCAGAGTGGAAAGCCCCAAGGGCTAGCAAAGGACAGTTGTAGGGTGGGACCTCACCCCCAGGGTGACCTTTCCTCCCCTAGCATACGGCTGGTCATGCGGTTTAGACCCCCTGACCTTTCCTCCCTAAAGGCCTCACTTGTATTTCAGCTCCAGGCCCAAAAAAGCAGCGAAACCAGACAAGTGACACCGTGGCTGACCTCAGGACCAGCTGCACTGGATAATGACCCCCTGCCCTGGTGCTGACCAATTAATCAGTGGAGTCCAGGACCCTGAAAGGACACACCTGGAAAGCTGCTGAATATTCTATTGAGATCATTCCCTGGGACCTCCCCTCATCTCCACCCTTAAACCCTTAGGATACAGGACCTAGTGCTCTTCCTCCCGGGAGCAGGCCACACCTTTCCCTGCCCCCCCACCCAGGCACTTCACCATCGCCTTCCTCACTTCTAAGCTCCGAGGGTCCTTCCTTTGCCTCTATAACTTGTTTCCTCTATAACCTGTTTCTTCTTTAAATTACTTCTACCTCTGTAATTTTACAAATAAATGTCTTCTTATAGTCTGAGCCTTGGCTCTGACTTCTTTCCTAGACAGAACCCAAGTACCGAGGTGGCTGAGCCCAGGTCTGGTCGGAACCCGCGGTCCCGCCGCCCACCAGCTCCGAGGGCGAGGTTATAAGCCTCTCGCTCTCTGCTGCCCTCCCATCTAGGAGGCCCCTGTGGTGTTTGGAAACCCCCGGCCCTTCAGACTCCCCATTCCTCTTACAAAGGGAAAGAACATTTTGAAACAAAAATCAAACCAAACAATTCCCGCCTCCGCTGCATGAAGCTCTTGAAGCTCCCTAATGTCGTCTACCTGGACTCAGGAGCCACACGACCGCCGGCTCCTTGTGCCCGGTGCTGACGCGGCTTCCGCGCACGTCTGGTTTACCTGTCTTTGCTTAAATCTCTGCTTGTTCAGTGTCCTCAGATGGCAACTGTGTAGGTGTCAATCACAAAGAACAAGAACAAAACCTAAACCTGCTGGGTCAGCAACGGTGTCTTTGCAGCAGGCAAAGCACATCACATAGTCTGAGAGTCTCTGGGTCTTCACCGAAGCCAACAAACCTGCCAGGTTCCTGGAGGTGCCCAGGTCTCTGCTCCTCTCTGGCACTTACTAGTTCTCTCTCTGGATCCTGATCCTTTATTATCTATCACAATAAAACCGGCTGGTCAGGAAAGTCTGTTTTAAAGCAGGGAATAAATGGAAAGAGGAGTGGCTCTCTATGGGACTTCAATGATTTGCTGTATGTTTTCATGTACTTACTACTTTAAAGCAACAGAAAAAGATCTCAAGAAATAGGGAAGAAAGAGAGGGGTGAGAACTCGCCCTGCGGCCTCTGTTGTGAAGTGGAGGGGCAACATTTCTCCAAGGGCACACATACCACGTGAGCGGCAAGCCCGGGCATTCGCCTCCACAGCTTTGCCGTATCCTGTAGTCCTCCCACAATAAGCTGTATTTCAATCACTAAGAAACATTTACATAAACCTTAAGTCCAGTACTTCCTAGGATCTGACTAAAAAAAGCTCCTCTGGGCTCGCAGGTAGAGCAAGCTCCCTCCCGCGATCCCACTCTCCTGGACGACCTGGAGCAGGTTTTCATTCATCCTGCTACTAAGCTCTGAGGCAGCACAGCTCTCAACAGTAACGTACGTGTCTTCCTCGACTGATAACCACAGAGCCCGTGAATAAATCATAATCAAGGCCCAACGCCGTACAATATGTGAATTATGACTTAAGGCAGTCATCAAAAAATTAAACTATTATTCTTTTTTCTTTAAAAAAATTTATTTTTAACCCTCACCCGAGGATATATTTTCCATTGCTTTTCAGAGAGAGTGGGAGGGAGAGAGAGAGACATCGATTGGTTGCCTCCCGCACACTCCCTCGTTGGGGCCTGGGATCGAGCCTGCAACCGAGGTATGTGCCCTTGACCAGAATCGAACCCAGGACCCTTCAGTCTGTGGGCCAACACTCTAACCACTGAACCAAATAGGCTTGGGAAGATCTGAGATATATAATCCCCTAAACAAAGGAGTTCTCTCTCTTGAGCTCTTGGGGACCCTTGAGACTCTCATTGCAGGGGCCGTGCTCACTTGGCTCCCCTGCACTCACCCACATGGCTCCCGCCATGTGGACCCCATACAATGGACTCATGGACTGCAACTAGCTTAATGCTAAACCAGACCCAGCTCCACCATGGAATGGAAACTCTGGACACTGGCTTTGCTTTTAGCTCCACTGAAGCCCCTGCTGCACCTCTTCCAGGACTGGATTAAGGGAAACGGGACTTTAGAAACGCAAGGATGTAATTCCACACAAATAAAATCACTCATCCTCCCACGGGGGCCTCTGGAAATGCTTATTCCAGAGGCTCTCCAAGAACCCCACTCCCACTAGCAACAGAGAAAGACCATCCACTCATTTTTCCCATAACAAGTTGGCTGGAGCATCGTCCTGTGCACCAAAAAGGCTGCGGGTTCAATTCCCGCTCAGGGCGCGTACCGAGGCTGCCAGTTCAATCCCCAGCCAGTAGCGTGTGGGAGGCAGCCGATGGATGTTTCTCTCTCACATCGATGTTTTTCTCTCTATCTCCCCCTTCCTCTCTCTAAAAGTCAATAAAAACATATCCTTTTTAAAAATTCTCTACCTACTGGGGGAGAGCTTGCGATAGGGAAAGACAACTCTAAAACAAAACGAAGCCCAAACCTCAAGAGAGAAACTACTCATAAAGCCCATCGCCGAGCCACAGTGCGGCCACACTGCAGCCCACCCCGCTGCCTGCGCCTGACCGCTGAATAGAAGGCACGCTTGTACGCCTCTCCCAGCAAAGACAACTGGTGTAAG